CATATAAACTCGTCAAAATTAGTACATATTCAGCAAAGAGGTAACTAAAAAAACAATTACTTTAAATGAACCTTACTAAAAAATAAACAATATTGTATGCTTATTTGAAATCGCTTTTACCTTAAAACTACTTTTAGAACCGTAACAACTCTATGAAACAAAGCACATTTGTTGTTATAACGACATTTTTTTTAGAAAATGTGACTATTTAGTATAACCTTTTTAGAATCCAAATGTTACAGAATATTTGTAATAATACCATATTACCTTGGATTGGGAGTAATTCGATGCTCTATTTTTGTATTTATCGTCTAAAGCAGAGAAAAAGATCCGTATAGCTTTTTCTGTATATATTATCGTGGTGTGGGCTACTTATGTCCACACAAATAATATATAACGATGGCCAGGCATTTAATGTATTTCAGTAGAAGATCGATAAGGAAAGAACGGAAACGAAACGAAATTGGTATGAAAACGTATGAACAATAATAATCGGAGACTATGAACTGATATTTGCAGAAGGAATGGTCAAGATTGAGACAATTGATTGATAGTTTGCAAATTAACTGTTTACTGTATGGTTGTCAGATTTCACTGAGATAGTCCCCACTCTAGTTCTTGCTCACTACATTATTAAATTATGTTTTGCATATAGTCCCTTGGTTTAACTTGTAATTTACTTTAAACTTCATGAAAACTTTTATTGAATTCAAAGAGCTTGAAAGATTATTAAATAAATACTTTGATTCTTTCCTTCAGTTATATATAATTGGCTAATAACACTCTCAGCTATTTTTCAGTGTAAGATTTTCGGTTTCGTTCGCTGGTTTATTATTTCAAAAAGGCTAGAAACTTACCAAAAACTGAACATAAGCGCTTCTTAACAGTACTCACCATTCAGGAGACGTTTTTCTATTTTTAATTTTACTTAGTAACAAGGCTACTCATCAGACTTACCCACTGTGAAATTATCCAAGTAATAGTAAATGGAAAAACAAACTAAATGAAAATCAGTCTATTGACAGATAGTATTTCATCATGATAATTGTATAATATATATGATTTTTACTAACAGTTAAATATTCATCATGGACCTAGTTCAGCGTGCGTTTTTTGCTTATGCACTGTGAGAATAATTCATTCAGGTATGCGCTGTGTTAAGTTTATTTGATGGAGTTCTGTTAATCAGGAAATATAAATGATTACATTCCATATATACTAATAGACAACATTTATCAACTATAAAGTATTGGTACTTAAACTAAAAAAACGCTTTCTACCTTCCATGTTGAACTAAAGCGTACTAAAATAGAGAATAACCAATGAAATTTATACTTCTTTATTTTCTTTAACCGTTGTTTCATGACGCTATTCAGCTGACGTATTATTAATTAATGGGAATAATTTTTCTTAAGTTAGGGTAATATACCCTTATTGAAGTATAATATCTGTCGTGTCTTATGACTTCAAAATGTATTTTTTCCTCTTTCATAATTCAACAAGAAATCGTCGTTAATGTATAATAATCTATTGAACAAAATTATGCACACAGAAACACATGTATTACATATGATGATATTAGTTAGAAGAAACATTTGTACTTTTAATGATAAATGCAAAGGAATCAAGTTAAGTAATCTATTTGTGATTTCATGGTTAAAATTTTTTCTCTCAGTTATTTACTCTATAAATGCTCACAGTAATTTATCTTAATTCGTTTGAAATATTTGTTGAGAAAATTTTCCTTTATTAGTATATTTTTAATGACATTAAAATTGATTACCAATATTCTTACAAATGATCAATTAAGGACTTTTTTGGCAAGACTCGAAAAGAATCAAAATTTGACACGTATTTGTAAATTACATCATGTGAATTTAATTTATTATATATATATATATATATATATATATATATATATATATATAAACACCATAAAGTAGTGACTACTTTCAAAGCTTTTATTCTGATGTTGGTTTGTTCTCTGAGCTGGGTGGTTTGGTCGTGACCACACGACCAAACCACCCAGCTCAGAGAACAAACCAACATCAAAATCATCCACCTGAGCTACAAATCTTCTCCACCATCTCAAAGCTTTTATTCACTGACATACGCCCGAGAGAATTAAATAAAACAGACTAAGAAACATTATAGGTCCTGTATTCATGAATATTTTGTTTTTCTATCAATTATTACTTATTGATCTCAGATATTATTAAAAGATTTACTAATAATGAACAAAATGAGTGTGCTAATTTTCTTTTTTTTAATAAATATTTGGATGAAATCATCGAGGAACTTGGTTTGTTTTATTTATTCTAATAAATGAATCAGATCTTCACATTATTTGATACTTTTTTTCAGAGAAGGTTAGTCTTAACGCTTTTGTGAATAATACTCACAAATTACTATTGTTCTCAACCTGATTATGAAATAGTACAATCTAATGACCACCCTTAGTAAATTCAGTACATTAATACTTCAATACTAAACTATTAAAGATAGAAAATGTATTTTTTTGAGAACTAATTTTTATCAAAAAATCATTTGCTCAACTGATTATTAATATTGGTACTAAATTTAAAAAAGTCCTGTGTTTATCATGAAATTTCTGAATGTGTATTGAATCAAGCTTTTAAATCTGTGTTTCATGCCAGCTAATACCAGTCATCAATGAAAATCCTTAATAAATTGATGCCTCTCATAAAACTCAAATTTATGTCGTCCGGTATGATGAATGTTTATGCAAAATCATCTTAAATCAAATCTGCTGTACTAAATTTATTCAGTTAAATAATTCATGTAGGGAAAATAAAACAACTTAAATTTGATTTTGTCTCTGTTTAGTTTAATATAGATATGAACTTTCACATTTAAATCACAACCTCTATTAGGTAAAATCTGAGTAATGGGTTATGGTCACCTTGAAGTCATTATACAATTAGTTCCTTTTATGAGTTTAGTTAAATGCAGATTTTAAAATCTGATTTTTTACAGTCATTTATTTTTTAAGATGATTGGCTTGTAGTGAATATGAAGAAATCTGTGAATTACACTTTTCATAATTTTTTTTTACTTCATATGAACTCATTTATAAATCTTTAAGTAACCAACACTCTTATTTTGTAAGGACTTTTACTCAAATAGTTTCCAGGTTTTTAAATCTTAAAATTAACAAAACAAAGTTCAGCGAAGCGATCTCTTTTCAACCAACTTATTATCAGAAGGGGTTTTGTGGTGATTTCAGTATTTTCACAGCCGTCCAGTGCTTCCAGGTTTTCTTTGGTGATCTAGCTTCAATTGATTCATGATTCCAACTATGAAAAATCGAATTTATTATCAAGCTGTACAATCGTATATATATGAAAATGTTTTGTTAAAGTACTAATTCCGTGAGGAAATGTGAACACCAATAACCAAGATTATAATACTAGATTACGTAATACAAGTAATAACAATAGATTTAGTGAATATAATAAGATGATTAAAATGAATAAAATGTTTTTGTTACAATTATTAAAGGTCATTGAAGGTCAAAGAGGTGTGAAAATAAATAAGGCAATATGCTGAGTATTCATGAATAAAATAATGAGAATATAAGACATAAGTAAAGGGGAATGCAGTAGTAACAATAATAGTAATAATAATAACAGAATGATAATAATAATATTAAGGCCATGGCAACGATAACGATAAGACGTACTTCTTTTGTACACATAGTCCTGGTTTAAGCTCATGGATGGTAAGAGCTTCAGCTATTTTTAGGAGTTGGATACGAAGAAATCTAAGTAGATTTGAATGAATCATATAAATAACCTTAAAATCAAACTGTGGATCAGTAGGATGATTACAGTCGATTAGGTGTTCAAGTATAGAACTCCTAACTGCTTTCCTTTCACCCTTGTAGAACCAAACTGGGATATGTTCTCGTATCCGAGTTGAAAGCAAGCGCTGGCTACGGCCGATGTACCTTGCTCTGCAAGAGCAGGTGAACTGGTAGATGCACATAGAGGCGACCAGACGTGGAAGCTTATCTTTTATAGATATAGAAAATAAGTTATTACTGATGACGTCTTATTCATTTTAATCATATTATATTATGGTTAATTTGGTTATTTATTCTCCGAAGAAGTGGCTTACACTGAGTCACGAAACGTCAGAAAATCTATTTTTTCTACTCATTGGGATATTACCAATATATTAATTTATTTATCTTATTATATTCACTAAATCTATTGTTATTACGCGTAATACGTAATCTAGTATTGTAATCTTTCTATTACGTCAACTTGGTTATTCGTGTTCAAATTCCCTCAAGGAATTATTTATTATTTTATTTATTTAAACACATAAATATTGGTACAAGAAAGCACCAGATAAATATGCGCCTCACAAATCTCATTCGATTTGTGTGAGGGCTGTGATACTGCCCAGGTGCCCAGACTGAAGCAGGTGGTTTACTTAGGGGCCACACCCGGAGCCTTTGACCTGAATGTCTGATCCACTAGGCAGTGGAGCATTGTGAGGAGATGCAGTTCCATGGTAGCCGTTGACCAATGACAGGTTCGTCCGCCATTCGTTCCATCAGGATACTGGAGCCCATGTGCACCACTGGTTTGGAATCAGGGTTTTCCAACTCCCCTAGGTGGACACGGAGAGTGTCCACCAACCCGGTTAAAGCGCCGAACATTCGCTTTTCGTCCTCTCACTTTTGTACACAACACCCCCGCCACGAGAAGGCAGTGAGTAGGACTTCCCTGGCAGAGGCTATATCTTCGCTGGCCATATCAGAGTATTTCGAGAGGGAGAGGTGACTCTCCCCACTCTTGTCCGTACCAGGGCATTTGGAGCTTAGTACTTTAACAAAATATTTTCATATATATATATATATATACGATTATACAGCTTGATATAAAATTCGTTGTAAAGAGATCCGTTCGCTGAACTTCGTGTTTTTGATCTTAAATCTTATTTTATTTCTCTTATCTTTCACATTGTAGCAATACGGGTTGACATTGAGGACGCAAATCACTTTAAAAAGGACATTCTGACGGCAGTCGAATCTAAACTAGGAGTAAGGTTGCAGCCGTTCTTCGTCGTTGTTGGCCTTTTGAGAGATGTAAAAGATCCAATGTTCGCACTTCAAGCATTCCTAGGTAAACAAACAATTTCAATTACCACTATAATTTTACTTACAATCTGTGACTACTTATAAGTAGGTAAATTAGATTTATGATTTTATTATATGGCTTACAAATGTAACCAAGGTTTATTTCTTTCTCCTACTTCAAAGACGAATTAGTTTGCCAATTTATGATATTGGTTGTTGGTATTAGGCTTTTCAGTGGCTACTGCTAGTAAAAAATATTTTATAATTTTAGATTAATTCTTAAGGTTTGTTGAGCTGATATTCATGACTGAATTTTGATCAGCCTCGGCATATGTGAATCCTATGCGGATTACCTCGATATCGTCATTTTGTCACACGTTTTGTTAAAAGAACGGATTGGGATTGACAGTGTGATCTCGAACACCCCTATACGGGACTTTTGGGTACCGAGTTATCCAGTTAATGACTCTTGAGTGGTGTGAAACATGCATCCTGAATTTTACTGCGAGCAACAATCCATTTGTTCTATGGAATATATTTTTATCTTCCTCGCATACTAGTGTTACGTTAATTACTACTTAAACTTTGAGCGACCTATGGTTTGTTCGAATTTGACTTTTACTAACACGGTAGACTATTTGTGTTTAAATAGCTATCGTGGTACACAATCAAATAATATTGATTATAAAAGTTGTTTTAAAATGTAGAGTCAGGTCTTAGCAATTATTAGACAGTAAAAATCAAGTTAAGATGAAGAGGGACTTTTGTGTTAGACATCTAGTCCTGAGTAGTTTTCTAAAGTATTTAATGTTACCCTTTCTCTATACAGTGGAGCTGGTCATGATTAGCTAGTATAAACCAAACATGTGTTCAAACAATTACTCAGTTTTTTTCGTTCACTTTGTCTGAAACTATAGTCATTCCTTTCCTTCGTACGGTCAATCACAAATTATATAAATTAAACCCCAATCACATTTATTGTATGTATTTTCCCAACCTCGTCTTACGAAGAATCCTAACTGCACATATACCGTATTACTATGTTCGCAGTATAACAAATTTAGTATTTTCTACATTTTGTATCAGTCACATGATTTAAACTCTGTTTACTATAACTCACTAAACTATCATACCGTTTTTTGTATGACCTTTCAACCTTATAATGAGGCATTTCGCAAGTATGTAACATGTAACTGATTCAAAATCGATAATTCTCAATTTACACCCCTGTCAATTCCATTCACATTTGGTATATATATGTGCCCTAGTTTCAAGTCTTTATAAACTTATGTTTGTTAGGCTATTGAAGACAACTTCTTATTCAGGATTCTTCCATTTTGAGTATGCTGTGGAAATCTTTAAATTACTGAAATGATTTATCAACTTTTCAGTTATTCTGGATTTTATTTGATTACTTCCTAAAATATTCTCCTATTTATCAGTCACCAAAACTCTAATGATGCCTAAGCACAAAAGATATTGCGAGACCAGACTAATAATTAAACTAAGTAATTTTAATATAACTAATTTAATGGTATAATTAAATAGTAGTCAGAAGGGGTTTTGTGGAGATTTCAGTATTTTTATAGTTGAAATCATTAGTCAATTGAAGCTAGATGAGAATGGAAAACCTGGAAGCACTGGTAAGTCCTGGGTTCGAATCTCGCGTGGTGGGATCGTGTATGCGTACTGCTGGAGAGTCCCATAATAGGACGAAACGGCCGTCTAATGCTTCCAGGTTTTCCATAATGGTCTAGCTTCAATTGACTCATGATTCTAACTATGAAAATAGTAGTCACTTTTTTCCGTACTTCGTTCAAACATTTTTTTATATTTCTATTTTTTGGTTATTGTTTCCCCAGAATGGAGAAATCAAGGTGAAAGAGAGAATAGCAATTCGAAAGTGACTTCAACTATTAATCATAAATCTTATAATCTTTTATACGTTGGATCAGTTGTAAGTCATTCAATACTTGTTATGCTGTTGTTGTAATTAATATGAATGTAAACATTTATAACAAAAAACACCAGCTCAAGTCATTATTTTCTGACTGAAATATAGATTAATAAATAGTGCATTGTTAAGTGTGATTATATGACATGTTAGGTAAACTAGTTTGTTGAACTGTTATGAGATTACTACAAGTAAGCTTGGTGGACGAGTTCAGACTATCGTTTGAAAGCGCTAAAGTTTAGGAAATTATGCAAGCCTAGATTTATATTTTTACAATGTCGTATATACAGACAATATTGATCTATATGTCACGATGTATTTTTACTCAGTACGATTTTTTCAGTGTGCCGTTTTATTTCTTTTTATACAATAACACGTTAATTTGATGGTCATTTTATATTGACAACAGACGTAATATAATATTTCTTTGCTTGTAACATATTTTTTTCATTCTAAAAGTGGACCCTAAAAAATATTAAAATGCTGAATTTGTATACAGAATTAAAAATGTCATTACTACTTAATAGAATAATTTTAGTGATTTTATGATGCGATGTATATAATCTGTTTTATTGATATATGAAGAAACACCTTTTCAAAGGTACCATTGCTTAGATCCCACTATTTTTTACAATCTGGTTTGAGCAATCGAACATCATCATTTTGAAATTAACATAAGCTAATTTTGGGGACTAGTTTTGTATTACTATTGGGACTACTCCAAAAACCACAACAAAGCCTCAAGAGTCTCTGAAGGAGTCGAAGAGATTCCATCCAGTCAGAACCTAATAGAACTGTCTTTAATATTTAACGTGACATGCTATTCTTGGACAATTGTATAACTTGCCTACTTGTGGATTGAACGGATTACAATGATGTTATAACCAATACTAAAAACTATGAATGCCCCTGTTTTTTTGTACACTTTCGACTCTTACCAAATAATCGTTTCCCGTGCTTCTTCCGTCTTTTGATTTGCGACTGTGAAGTTTTACACGTTCGAGTGCTAATAGTTGTATACCGTATTTTTCCGTAATCAAATAGGGGACGTAACAATTACTGCTTTCAATTAACACTACTGGAGATTATAATTTAGACCTTGAGGTAAAACATTGATCAAGTCAATATTTTCAAACATGTATTTTATTTGTGAATGTTGGTGATTACTAGCCAACTGCTCAGACTGAAATGTGTCTGAATTCTGCTTTATTTGTATAATTTACAGATTCAAATGGAATTAAATAAGTGTATATAACAGTTATGAACATGATATCTTGATGAATAACCGATCGGTAATTGTGAAGCCATATTTTTTATAGAGAGTTTATAAATTCCGGATTGATTGTTGTTACTTTTAATGACAAAATATTATTCATTTTATTTATGAGTCTGAGATTTTTCATGTAATCAATGAAAATAAAAGAAATGTATCAAAAGACTGTTAAATATGGTGATTGCTTCGAGATTTTCAACTTTTTAATACTAACTGTAAGAATGCACTTTCTGAACTCGATACTTCAGGTGTCAGTTAGGATTTACTTCAGTCTGAGTAGTGATAAGAATACATAGAAGACAAAATTTATAAATGTACATCACTTACAACTCCGTAAATAAATAAATATAAATGCTTGTTCAAGTGTATCCTCAACATTAATCACCAACCCAGTCACTTCACTTCTGAAATCAGATGTAAATTGTGCAACATAAAATTTTAGGTGAAAACTTGTAGTGCCGTGCTTCGTTAATAGTTCACCTCGATAACCGTTATAATACAAGTCTTAACGGTGCATAATATCAGAAGGCAAAGAGAAGCGGCAACTACAGTTTATTGTCAGATGACGCAGACCAGAAAGTTATGAGCACATGAGCGAATATCAGCGAGCGAAGTAAAGATGACACGCATTGGAGATGGTGGGTAAGCCAACTCACTTTTATCAAGCGTTAATCAATATTTATAGTCAGACAAAAATAAATGACAGACATGTGATAAATAGGATAAGAAGTGTACACACAACACCATAAACAACATAATATAAAAATGGTCAGAGTTAATAAGTGAATAATTGACAAGGTGAAAACATGACTCATAATGGACAGGCTAATTGGCTTGGCCAGAAGCTAGAATAAAGTATATGGGCTTAACATATAAACTGATACGACAACTACTACAACGTGACTTTTCGACAGATTAGGCATACGAAAGTACTTTACGTCATGTATCACAACTTAGTGCAATAAAATATTTCAAGATGTTTTTTTAAAACTTTTAAATAGCAAGCAATCTCTTGCATGAGTTGTTAATAAACTAACTCTGAAGTGGAATTAAAACAAATAACTTTGTGATAAATACTTATCCAAATACTTTAATTCTGATGTAATTTGCAGTCACGAAAAACAGAAATGACCTATAATTCCGCGAAACGAGGCTTTTTATGGTGTACAGATAAAATGAACAAGTTACAATAACTTTCAAACTGGTAATTGAATATACATCGTAGTCTGTCGGATTAATTTCAATTTTTAAAGTCTAGTTATGAATTTGAATCACTTGAGACTAATATTCATTGTATAATTTACAACGGTTACAGATTGTTGATGTATTCTGCACTCAGGTAGAAGGCAGTTGAGTTCTACTTGATGAACTTATAAGTGGTTGAACAGTGCTAAAACTACACAATCACAAAACGTCAACCGAAATTAATCGAGTGTATTCAATATAAGGGAAGTGAAGTATAGTCATGTTTAAGAAACCTTCTGCTGTCTCCTGAGACAGTAGGCATATGATATAGTGCATCTACATGAATTTATAAATAACCTGAAAAAAATTCAACAAGACAATATTAAAAGATATAGCTGTAGACGACTAAAAAATGAATATCGACTATTATTTCATGACAGATGGACGTAAAAAATCAAATGATAAAACATGACAACATTAATTTTACGACTATCCCAGCATCAGTTTGTGTAAAATCAACATAAAATTTTATACTTCATTTTAAATCAGTCAAAATAATAAAAGTTTGATTAACGGATTTTCTCTCATTATGCAATTTAAAACGATTCGATTACATATTCACACATCCAATCAAATTAAATATTCACCATAGTGGATCGGTTTATGACTTCACAGCCAGATAGATAAATAACAGCAAAGTAAATCTGTTTTTGTGACACTTACAGAAGTACATATAACTTCGTACTAAATATTACACGTACTTACTAACATGCTCTACCCATCGCCGAGGAGCATAGGCTGCCCACCAACATTCTGTATCCAACTCTATTCTGGGCAATCTTTTCCACTGGTCTCCAGTTGCTAATCATCCTTTTCATGTCCACCTCTAATTCCCAACACAGTGTCTTCTCTGTTCTTCCTCTTTCCCGTTTCCCCTCAGAATTCCAAGTCAGCGCTTGCCTCCTGATGCAGTTTGGTGATTCCCTAGATGTGTGTCCTATCCAACTACAAAGTCTTTTCCCAATTTCTTTTCCAGCTGGAAACTGGTTTGTTTTCTTCCATAGTAGAAGTTGTAAAACGATTCAAATCTAAGACAGTGGTTGAAGGTTCTTCGCCTATACAACCTTATTAACGTAGAAAAACATTCTTATCTACTATATAAAGTATATATGTAGTTCTGTTTCAGCTTGTTACTACTATTACTATTCTAAATATCATGGTTGATTTGTAGAATGGAATTTAAGAACTACTTCAGTGACTATTCTTTCGTATGCCGGTACCAACATTGAACCACCACAAAACCTTGATTTGTTCACATGGTTTTACTAGCCCCTATATGATCGTTCCAGTGTATTCACAATGGCTTATTAACCGTAATAATACAATATATTTTGCTGCTTAAAGTATTCAAGATGTTAAGAAGAAGACTAGATTCTATATGTATTGTCTATCATTTATCGAAGATTTTTATCTGATGATAATCCATCTAAACACTGATTTATACTGGAAAGATTTCTATTTGAAATGAATTACTGTGTAGATAGTGAAACACTTCAGTTTAGACCTAATTATTTAGATGAACAATAGGGTAATAAAATCAGTATGTACCTAGTTTATTCAGTTTATAACTGAAATAACACGTATCATAGACCAATGAGTGATAAATATTCGAGGTTTATCGCATATTAGTTAGAATATGACCTTGCTTTTAGTAGGTCCATTGACATATACCTCACGAACATACACTATATTAACTCTATCATTAACTACACAAATTTATCCAAACACATCAGTTTCTTGATAGTTCGCTTTCAGTTTGTTTTACAAGTATATAACTAGGTATTTTTTTCTCTAAGGTATAACAATCTATGCTTTAATTTTTCATTTGGCTCTATCATTCATCTTTTTTTATTTTACTTAAACAAATGTAATCGTGTTAACTATTTTCCTCCGTGCACACATGTGACATACTGTAGTTAATTTAGATCATTGTAACATGAAAGATTTTATACATATATATGAATAATAATTGCAAGTTAGTTCACTAGTCAAGTTTAGATTTCTTAATGTCTAAATATGTAGGCTTGTTTGTGTGCATATATTTAAATCCATTCGTGTTATTTATCTATTTGTATGCTTTCTTTGAGTGTAGAACGAAAAAAGAAAGAATCATTCTTTGTTTTTTCTGTTCGTTTGTTAACTATAAACTATTAGCATGAATGAAGTTTACTGACTGAGGTCGATAAACAAGAGAATCTAAAACAAAATCAACAAATAGCAACCTATGTTTCTAAGTCTATATGATAAATAATAAATAATTGAAATGAACAAAGCCAATTTTTGTTTCAATGTACTTATTTTATTACCATGATTACTTTTTTATTGAAAACATCAGTTAGTCAATTGGAAAACCTAAATGTTTTCATTTGTCTGACTAATTTTCAATTTATGGTTATAATTATCACTAATCGAATTATGATTACTGTGAGTAGCGGTAGTTTGTTCTATTATATGTTTGAGTATAATCCGTAAACATGTAATTCTCTGTAAGTGACTACTTGTACCACAACTGGAACAACAGCTGATTTTGTACGTTTATCAGATAGGCTTACATTATCTAGATTAATAACTTTCGTTTGGCGGATGAAGCGAATATTAGTATACAGTATAGTATTAGAACCAACTTATTACATTATCTAGGATACATTCTAAGGAACCCATTGAATATTACTAAAATAATGGGCAACCCTAACCGAAAATAATCAAAAAACGCGGTAGTTAATTTCAACTAGGTTTTCGAGAAAGTAAAACTGTGTATTCAGTAGGACTTAGATTTTTAAACAACAGTTGAAACTTAGTCATTCAACACTTTGAGAACAGATTAATTAATTAATTTAAAATTAGTAAGCATTTCATAACAGAATTATAGAAATATTAAATCAAAGCAACGTACTATCTGCTTGTTATATGATTATAATTACTTACTTACTTACTTACGCCTGTTACTCCCAATGGAGCATAGGCTGCCGACCAGCATTCTCCAACCCACTCTGTCCTGGGCCTTCTTTTCTAGTTCTATCCAGTTCTTGTTCATTCTTCTCATGTCTGTCTCTATTTCTCGGCGTAATGTGTTCTTTGGTCTTCCTCTTCTCCTTTGACCTTCAGGATTCCATGTGAGGGCTTGTCTTGTGACGCAATTAGGTGATTTCCTCAAAGTGTGCCCAATCCACTTCCAGCGCTTCTTCCTGATTTCTTCCTCTGCTGGAATCTGGTTTGTTGTCTCCCACAGTAACTTGTTGCTGATAGTGTCTGGCCATCGGATCCGAAGTATTTTCCGTAGACAACTGTTGATGAACACTTGTATCTTCTGGATAATGGCTTTCGTAGTTCTCCACGTCTCCGCCCCATACAGTAGAACTGTCTTGACATTTGTATTGAAAATTCTAACCTTGGTGTTGGTTGACAATTGTTTTGAGCTCCAGATGTTTTTCAGTTGTAGGCATGCTGCTCTTGCTTTGCCGATCCTCGCCCTCACATCTGCATCTGATCCACCGTGTTCATCAATGATGCTTCCCAGATATGTAAAGGTTTTCACATCCTCCAAAGCTTCTCCGTCAAGTGTAATTTGATTGGTGCATATTGTGTTGTGTCGGAGAGTCTTGCTTTTCCCTTTGTTTATATTGAGACCTACTGCTGCTGAGGCTGCTGCTACACTGGTCGTTTTCTCCTGCATTTGTTGTTGCGTTTGTGATAGAAGAGCCAGATCATCCGCGAAGTCTATATCGTCAAGCTTCATCCTAGCTGTCTATTGTATCCCGTGCTTCTCTCCAGATGTTGACGTCTTCATGATCCAGTCGATGACCAGGAGAAAGAGAAAGGGTGAGAGTAAGCAACCTTGCCTAACACCGGTCTTCACTTGAAACGAGTCGGTAAGTTGTCCTCCATGGACGATTTTGCAGTTTAGTCCATCATAGGAGTTCCGTATGATATTTACTATTTTCTCAGGCACGCCGTAGTTTCGAAGAAGCCTCCATAGTGTCGTCCTGTCCACGCTATCAAATGCTTTCTCGTAGTCGATGAAGTTGATGTAGAGTGATGAATTCCATTCGATTGATTGTTCCACAGTGATCCGCAGAGTTGCGATTTGATCTGTGCACGATCTATCCTTACGATATCCACCCTGTTGATCTCGAAGTCGGGTGTCCACGGAATCCTTCATCCTGTTTAACAATACTCGGTTGAAGACTTTTCCTGGTATTGAGAGGAGAGTGATGCCCCTGTAGTTGTCGCACTTGCTCAGATCGCCTTTCTTTGGTATCTTGATGAGAAGTCCTTCTTTCCAGTCTGTTGGTACTTGTTCTTCATCCCAATTCTTACTGAAGAGGATGTGGAGTATCTTGGCAGTTGCTGTTACATTTGCTTTCAGTGCCTCTGCCGGGATGTTGTCTGGTCCCGCTGCTTTGCCACTCTTGATTTGTCTAATGGCCATGCTGATCTCTTCAATTGTTGGTGGGCCAATATCGATTGGGAGGTCTGTGGGTGCTGCTTCGATGTTGGGTGGGTTCAGTGGGGCTGGTCGATTCAAGAGTTCTTTGAAGTGTTCTACCCACCTGTTTCGTTGTTCTTCAATGTCGGTGATTACTTTGCCTTCCTTGCTTTTCACTGGTCTTTCAGGTTTACGGTAATTTCCAGCAAGTTTCTTTGTTGTATCATACAGTTGTCTCATGTTTCCCTCTCTTGCAGCCTTTTCCGCTGTCATCGCTAAATCTTCCACATATTTACGTTTGTCGGTTCTGATGCTCCTCTTCACTTGCTTGTTTGCCTCTGTGTATTCGGCTTGTGCCTTGGCTTTTTCTGTTCTTGTTCGGCTGATATTGATTGCTGCCTTCTTGTTCCTCCTTGCTTCAATCTTATCCAGTGTACCAACAGTGATCCATTCCTTGTGATGGTGCATCTTTTGGCCCAGAACCTCTTGACACGTTGAAACGATTGCCTCCTTGATACCTTTCCAGTTGCTCTCCATGGTAGATATGATTATAATTACATTGTACAAACTAACCGTTTCCTACGTAAATTCTTGTGATCTCTGATTTTTTTTATTAGGAAGAAGATACAGAAAATATACAACAATTTATTGACGAAATAGATGGGTAAGTTTTTTTGTGAGTAATATATCATGTCGCTTAAGTATTATTTTTCCAAGTTTAAATTACTAAAACTTTATAGAATAATTAAAGGATGTTGATATTAATTAGTTGACCTCCCGAGCAACTGTACAGAAAATATCCTTAAAATTTATGGAATTGCGATAGAATTCAGTACTGTTTATCGAAGTATCTACATTAGCAATCACATAATAATCCATGAAACTCATACTTTTTTATAACTTTATAAGTTGATCTGACGTGGATTTGTGCCACGCTTTATTTTGATTATGGCTGACTTTAAAATAAAAGTTTGAAAGTTTATATCAGCTCTAAAACAATGATATCTGGTAATATCTTTTGGTTACTTACAGCGAAATTAATTCCTAATGATAAATTAGTAAGTATAATAGATTCTCATAAAGATAATATTATTGTGGATAAAAAAATAACGATAGTCAATTCCAGTTACTATTCATTCAATACATTCACGTAGTATTGTTTACTTGAATCTTCCTATTGATGTTTAGCACTGCAATTGATCAGTGTGTTATTGGCATATGTGCATACTGTGCGTATTCGGACTCAGGTACATCCAGCTGACGAGTCTCAATTAGGACGAAACGCACGTTCTGGATTCCACTGCTAGCCACTATTCATATGTGTTTATATTCATTCAATAGTTAATTACTAATTAAATTAACTATTTTATTCCCAATGCATTTCTTTTATTCATTTGGACTAAACAGAACCAACAAGATTGTCTTCTAGAATGGCATTCTTGTAACATTTTCTTATACGGTTGGAAAGTTAAATATACAATTACCATCAAGTCTATTTGGCTTATACCGTGATAAATGACAATTTCTTCTTTAGTGGTATACCAAAATACAACTGAATATTTTACCCAACAATATAAATACTACCCGAAATTGATTAAAATTGGGCTGAATCTAATTAAATGTTACCATAGCTTTTTGACTAAGTGTGAAAATTTCTTTTTTCTTTTTTTTCACATATTGCAAGCATGCAGTAAAAATAGTCCTGTTTTTGTAAAATACTATTTGAAATAAAATACTTCAATCCAATTATCGGACACAGATTATAACAATCTATTTCGGATTTTATAATGTATGATTTTTTCTCAGCCTGTGATTATTTTAAGCAATAAAGTCTTAAATTATGTAACAGAAAATTTGGAAGAAATTATAAATAATTCTATGATATAATGTATTACTAATAGGCCATCTTTAAAGCGTTGAGACATTATTATACTTTTTCTAAGTTGACCAAATATACTAATATGATTGATGAAATAAATTCAGATGAAGCATTAAAAATTTTCGGCAAAGCATTTTGTACTACATCATGATCTATATATTCTGAATAAGATTAGCAAGCATCGACTTCAGTTTAACTGAACAGTTTGATGTTCAAAGATAGGTCTAATTTCCGACTCTATCCATCAATTTGTTTGTTGCAAAGATTTGTTTAATTTTTCATCTGAAACTTCAAAATCACATTGAAGGATTTTGCTAACTCAATATTAGTATGAGATAAAACAACCATGGCATAACTGCACTCTATTTATACATGTATTCAATTAGTTCAAAAATATATGATTTTATAATAACAAATTAGAAGTATCAAGGCGAGGATACTAGTTAAATTTTCAAATATGATTAATAGTTTTAGCCTGAGGCTAACATAGATATTTGATTTTTATATGCCTAATTTAACTTTATTCATTAATAATAACACGGATGTGAAAAATAATGTCAATTTTTTCTTCCTACGACAATTATTGAAATTCTTCCTTATGATTGTATATGGCAAACATTACAAAACTTTATTTAGGAAACACCGTACGCTACATTGAAAAAAACAACAACAATCGTATGTTTGCATATAATATACACATACAACAACCAATCAAAGAAGAAATAAACCCTGTTTATTGATTGGTCCACACCAGTCAGTATCCGACAATTGAGAAGGCGAACAAAACTGCTTTATCTATTGATTAATTGAAATGAAATTTATAAGTGAATAAAAATTTTACCTCACTGGAAATGTAATAAAAGCACTGAATTGTTTTGACGACTATTATCATACTATAAAATACATATTATTGTATTTATATGAAAAAAAAGAATATTTTTTCGGAAGACAAAAAGATCATTGTATACATGAACTCCATGTACATGTGATCATACATCGAACTTAAGAAATGGCATATCTATTCAACTAAGAGTGATGTTAACAACTATAGTTTGTTATAAGTATAAAAAACTGTGACAATGACAGTTATGTTGATAAATTCTCGTTTATTTGTCAATGAGTTTATTTAAATAATAGTACTGTTAAACACTGAAGTCTACAAATAATAATTCAAATATATGTTAACTGTATGATGTAGTGTTATAAAAGATAAGATAGTAAATTTTATTCAATGATTATCCATAACCAAACAAAAATAAGTATGATATTTTAAATACGATACTTGAAAAGACATTGATTTCTGAAGTATTTATTTTGTTTACAAAATAACTAAATTGATGTAGTGATAGGTTTAAAACATATTGTATTTTAATTGTGAGAAAGTGTAATGAGATTCGTCGATAAGTACCTGGTAAAGTATCATCGGTTGATTCATTTCAGACTCGGTTTATTCCATTGTGCATCATTTCATCCCTAAAGTGGCTTAGTCTTTTTTTTAGTTAATGATATACATATACAGAAGTCACTTAGAGATCAAACTATAAACTGCATCTTTGCCAGGATAACGAAGATTAAATGAAGATCTATACGGTCATGAAAGTCATAGAAAACAGATAAATAAAACAAATTTACAGATACAATAGGAATTATCTGTTATTTATGTCATCGTATACTCTCATTCTTTACACAAAAACTTCAATTGCTATCTACTTATGCATAAAACACATTATAAGCTTCTTTGTTAAATCTTAACTTTCTTAATATTTAAAACTTTAATCATATATATATTAGTATTTGGATGAAATAAAAAAAATTTTGATACCTAAATGCCAAGTCTTTAGTAGACATTTTTTTTCTAACACTCATTTTCTCATTGTTTGTCTATAGATAACGATTAATTAACTGTAGCCGTACATTTTTTGTGATAATAGCACATATCTTTTAATTGTGGAGTTGAGAACTCATTCTTACTAGTTATCAGTTTGAATTTAAACATTATCAATATGATGGAGATATTTAAACGATTATCAAAAGTATTTCAAAATAATATTATGGGTAATTAAAGAAAACAGCAACTAATTATGTTTTTACCGTCTTTCGTCGTTATGATTAATTTATTAAGTGATTATTATAAATAAGATGTTCAATGACATTAATACTCAAAAAAGTAGTAAACTAATCATCATAGAGCATAACGATTATAAAAAACAATAATAAACTAGTAGTTCGATGACTAATTATTGAATCACTACTGAAAACACTTTTCCAACAAGTTAAATGAACCAAATGTAGGATATCATCTCTAGAAATAGCACCCTACGAATCAGACAAAGTGTCTTTATCGTTTCTGATTCTACTAAAATGACAGACTTTAATACAAGTAGCCTGAGTATTAAATAATCAATAGATAAGTCAAACTAACATAACTGCTCTAATAACAATTATACTTAATCTTATATTTTTATCAAACTTGCTCAAACTATGTTATGATTTGCGACCAAAGTGTTTTTTTTTGTAGTATATACATGTACATAAACAAACAACCTAGTTACTTTATAGACTAAACAATTAATGAACTAAATTTGAAAATTCTGTACAAATTATTCAGCTGATGATGGTAGATAGACTTGATGAACCGTTATCAATTAAGATGTGAACTATAGTAGGCGTTTTTGACAGAAACCGACAGCTTAAAATGAAGCTAAATGAACTTTCCATTTTATCTGATAGTAATAGTGGAATTCTCTTATTGATGTCAGTTTGATTATAGAACCATGTGTATTAAATTTTTTACTGAAACTAGCAATAGTATGAGGGTTTTCTATTTTAATTTCAGTTTCAAAATTGTTATTGGATGAAATCGAGTATATGGAAGACCTTCTTCTATATTTGACGTATTCATATTTTCACAGTTGAAATCATGAGTCAATTGAAGCTAGACTACCATCGAAAACCTGGAAGCACTGGATGGCCGTTTCGTCCTATTATGGGACTCCTCAGCAGTGCGCATCCACGAACCCGCTCTCGCGAGCGAGATTCGAACCCAGGACCTACCAGTCTCGAGCCGAAGCCCTTAACCGATAGACCACTGAGCTAGCATCCAACGGTGTTAATGTCTAACTTCAACTGATCCACGATATTGAGCGACCGTTCACCAATTGTCTTCAGTGAGATGATATCTCTATAGCAGACCTGGTAGAACTCGCGAGAGCGGGTTCGTGGATGCGCACTGCTGAGGAGAACCATAATAGGACGAAACGGCCGTCCAGTGCTTCCAGGTTTTCGATTTTGGTCTAGCTTCAATTGACTCATGATTTCAACTGTGAAAATACTAAATTCTCCACAAAACCCCCTCTGATCTGTATTCATATTTGTTTGTCAATTATTTGTTTTGTCTTTAAATTTTAGAAAAATTGTACATCGATGTGATTCATTAACACAAAAAGAAGTGCATTCATTAATCCTTAGCTCCCAAGCGCTGATCAATTGTTCAATAAGTGAAGGTCAGTCATTGGCTGTAATGGAGGTAAGTATGCGTACATAGTTGCATAGTTATTCAAACTACTATTACCATCTATTTATCAAGTGACTTCAACCTTTAAAAATGATGTCACGGTTTGTAAACGAAAAAACGTTTTTAAATCTATTTACTAATGACGAAAAGATAAACAAACTTACAAATCATGCAAAATAAACAAATAAAAAGACATCTAGAGTTTACAGCTAACAGGTATTCAGTATCTTTATGAGCCTTGTCTCATTTTCTGAACAAAGATAAGTTTGTTTAATAGAATATTATAGAAATAGGAACTATGAAATAATGACAGGCTTAGTGTTTAAATATAGATAATTAATGCATCTCTACCATTAAGACTAGTTCTAAATATTTTCACTTGAACTGCTCAATGTTAAATAACAACTATTTCGAAAAACGCTAATCAGAGAATCGATATGCACTAATAGGGCTAAAATTGGTAGTCAAAGACCTCATAGAATGTTATTTGGTCTTGATCACGCTACGCATAGTCTTTTCACAGTCTACTTCTATAATAACTGTCATAACACATAGGGATAGACAGTAGTTGATCAATCACCGTAATTGATGAATATTTACAAACTCACCGATTCACTACTTTTAATAAATATCCTCAGCTTAAAAAATACCTATTATTAAATGGAGTTGATAAGATGCTATTAATTTAGTCGTGAACGACAAATGCATTCTAACCATTCGCATAATGTAATCGAACTTATATTCGTCAAACATGGTAAACTTTTTTAACACTAATACCACTAATAAAGTATGTCAGTAAGATCGATGTCCAACCTACCATAAATGATTAAACATTTGCAACGATAAAGATCAGTCTAAAGATTAAATTGTAGTTATAACTTGTTTACAAGTATAAGGAGCTATGATCTCTGAATATGATTAGTCGGACGAGAACAGTAGGCGAACCACAGAAAAATTCTAGACAGTTTATCCAGAATTATGAGTATCAGAAAGCTTACAGAAAATCTGCACAGTTCATGTTTCGGGTCTTTTAACAAGTTTATTTATTTTTATATCTTAAAGTAATTCGTTCAAGAAACTCATAGATATCGTTTTTTCATATACATAGGCTATGTCTCTTGGAGTTCCGGTTGTGGTGAGAGAAAATCTAGGCAACTGTGATCTTATCAAAGATAGAAAGAATGGATTGGTATTCAGAACATCCAAGGTGGGTATTAAGTGCAATTAGTATTTACAATATTCACGTATTTTTAAAGTGCTCATCCTTAGTGGAAACGTTTTTACACTCATTAAGTTATAAATCATTGTGAGGCTACAGCGGTGTGATTGATTGTAAGAAAGACCAAATATTAAGCAAGACGGTTTGAAAAGAAAGGATGAATTCCAAGTGCCAAATAATGCTGAAGCTGAAGACTTTGGAATACAACTAAAAGATTTGGACTTCGCAAACGATCTAGCTCTTCGATTACACAAACACCAACAAATGCAAGTCAAGACAACCAGTGCACTAGCTGCCTCCGTATCAGTAGGACTCAAAATACACAACGGAAAAACCAAGATCCTTAGATACAACACAGAGAACATCAACCAAACCAATCACGCTTGATGGCGAAACTATGGAGGAGGTGGAAACTTCCACGTACCTGGACAGATTCGTCGATGAGCAAGGAGGATTTGAAGATGTAAAGTCAAGGATTGACAAAGCAACAACAGCATTCCTACAGTCGAAAAACATTTGGAACTCAAAACAACTGTCAACCAATATCAAGGTCAGAATCTTCAATACGAACGTCAAGACAGTCCTACTGTACAGGGCTGAAACTTGGAGAACTGCTATAACTTTCATCAAAAAGTTTAGGTATTTATAAATACTTGTCTACTCAAGATGCCCAATTTTCGTTGGTAGGATACCATCAGCAACAGCTTTTTGTGGGAGAGGATAAACCAGCTTCCAGCTGGAAAAGAAATTGGGAAAAGACTTTGTAGTTGGATAGGACACACATCTAGGGAATCATCAAACTGCATCAGGAGGCAAGCGCTGACTTGGAATTCTGAGGGGAAACGGGAAAGAGGAAGAACAGAGAAGACACTGTGTTGGGAATTAGAGGTGGACATGAAAAGGATGATTAGCAACTGGAGACCAGTGGAAAAGATTGCCCAGAATAGAGTTGGATGGAGAATGCTTGTGGGCGGCTTATGCTCTTCTACGAAGGGCATCAGTTGTAAGTGATGACTTAGAGAAGGACAAAGTGAATTATTGTGCACCATACTGATGGATTCTGAGCCACGTCACGCAAGCTCTTTAACTACCAGTTAAGGTAATCGCTAGCATCCCAACCAGACGGTCTACACCTTCTTTTGCGGCCCAGTCCGGCGATCGGTGACTTCATGAACTAATGCCATGTCTTGGTTTGGGCGTGCATATTTTTTTCTCAACTTATTTCTTCTCCAGCAAACATTGTGTCGACATAGGTGTCATTTTTCCCTCTTATGGAGAATAAATGCTCCACAATTTATCCTACCAGTGACGTCAAGTGATGTTTAAAACTGGTATCTCAGCCAGAATCAGCAAAGCAACGAACTATATGACTTACAGTAATTATAGATTATTTAAAAGCAATTAATCTCAATATTTGAATGTAGGACTTCCAGAAGCTGGTTATCAATGACATAATTTGTGATTTTTCCTGCACTTGGTAGTTTTTATTGGACTTAATAGCAATGATCTTTTTGTTTTCGTTATTTTAAAATAACAAACTTAAATACGATTCTTTTCGTTTTAAATTCTTTCCAATACACCATAGACTATACTAATTAATATGTATCAAGAAAATTCTTGCCACTGTACACTAAAGAGGCAAAATAATCCTTAGTAGTTCCGTTGGTTGCGAACACTGTCATGAAGTAGACGTATAGGTTATAGACTATATGGGCTTAATCAGTGTTCGTCATCCTATTATGGAAACGATAAACAGTAATAATCGATGGTTGGTAATTCATCGCACTTATTTTATTAGACATGCACGTCTACGAATTGCTAATGTTAATGATTCTTAGACTAATTTTCATCACTGGTTCCAGAACAACAATGGGCCACCATACACTTTCCTGAATTTGTAAAATAAACAACTAAAAATTTTATAGCGACCCGCTGCTAACTAATCCCACAAATCTAACATAGTCTTTCAATGCATTATAGGTAGGACTGTTTGTAGTATATTGTGTGATATCCAATACTTATGAATGATCTTTCTTCTCAAGCCGAACCATACAATTAGTTTCCCTATCACAGACCGATATTTCTAGACCAATAGCTTGATATTCTATCAATAACGAAAAAAATCACATGAACAACTAGGATTTTCACCCAAGTAACGGAAATAATCAGCAACCCATCACTGACACATGCGACACTGAATGTACTCTATTTGGGCCAAGACTTTAGAATATTTATAGAGATTTCAGTAAATTTAGAGAGTAATCGTTAGTTTTCACTGGCTGTTCAGTTCGAGCTACACCATTTTATTAATTAGTGGTCAAAAATATCGTGTACTACTAATAGTAAACAGAATCACTGATTTGGATTCAAAATTTACCTAAGCCTAGTGAATTTTACACTTCAATATGGATGATTGCTAATGTAGACAACAATCAAATAGTGAGTTATTTATTTCCTATACAAAATTTAAAACCTACTGATTCTTATGGAAACCATACTTTAAAATCCTGCCAGAAGTAAATTAGTTATAAAGCTTTTCTTCTAACTATGTAGTTACAAATCAATAGCCTTATCTGTTATTTTAAAAACCTCTTAAACTTTCAACAAACATTTGAATTACTTTCAGCTATTCCACCATATCGCTTATGTAATTATGACAGGATAAAATAGTTGGTTATGTTCCAATCCAAAAATTAATCCAATGTAAACGTGAGGTCACAAATTTTAACAGTAGGATAAAGCTAATCAGCTTGTACAGAAATACTTAACAAGATCAACCAAAACTCAATATAGATGAAATCGCTTTGATTAATTGCTAACCATGTATATGGCAAAATGTTTAAAAAGAATACATGATTATGTTCAGTTTACTTAGTTTTACTTCAGAGATACCTACTAGATTTTGTGATGTTAAATTTCAGAGAATTCGTATTCATTTATACAAAGTAAATAGTCTTTTTTATGTATTCAGGAGCTGGGAGAATGTCTAACCTATCTAGAAGAAAATCCTGATATAAGGAAACAAATTATTTTCGCAGCCGAAGAGTTTATTGGAGGCAAAGAATTCCAAAGAGGATATCAGGCGAAATTATATTCACATATAATCCAACATATACATTCTAGTGTATGATCAACCTATACAGCAGTCGAGAGCATAACAAACAAAATCAGTGACAACATTTTTTCTATAAATTTCATTTTGAATGATAATCAAAAGCATATATTTCCAATTAGAAAGTAATAATAAAGTTTTTCACTGAAGTGTTATTCACTATAATATAAAATAATAAAATCAAATTTCGTCTATTTTAAATGTTAGAAAGATGGGGGATTCTGATATGGTAAGATTTCTATGACATAAAAATCACATTTTTCACTAGATTTATAAAGGATATATCAATATCACCTTACATAAAAAATAAGAACACAATAGTCCGAGTATGGCTGAGATCTATGTCATTATCTTTGTAGTTGTGCTACTGAACGAGTTTTATGGAATAAATCACACGATCAAATTTGTTCAGTGCATATTAACACCTACGATATCCTTTTAAAACAAGGCATAAAAACGATTTTTCATGAAGAACAGTATACGAGTCACGACCGTAGCTGCTATCTTGATGTGGTGGTCGGGCTTGCCTATCGCAATGACCCAACCGAGCTATATTGGTTGAAACATACGTTCCTGTAGGTTCTACCATGCCAGGCAGGTCGATTGGAGAACGGTAAGACTAAAAGCAGCAACTCAAGGTCTGAAGGGCGAAGTCGTACTGCTGACTGAATAGGGGTGTGACGACAGCAAGGTTTTTCCCTCGGACAACCAGGATCTGCAGCGATGCTACCTTCTCACAAGAAAGGAAGGGGTTAGAAAAGGTCGACCCTCAAAACGTCACACTCCACCTTACCTAACAGATTTCCGTCTCCAGAGGAAAGACCCTCTGAAGAACGGTGCCAACACGTCAAAAACCTCCCACAAAAAAGTCGTGCGTGACCAGCCTCAAGCAGTTTCCCTTGGGCTCTGCGATCACGCTGTCATGTCGTTAAGATCAGTACTAATTCAACTTCCTTTTCAGGTTCCTCAAGAAATACCCTTCAACGATGTGGGCAGCCGAGAAGTGACATCAGACCTCATACCCATAACAGCACAAGAGACTAAGTTGGTCACAAGCAAATCCTTCCTACACCTAATAACTCCACGACTAACACTTCTCACGTTCCTTAATCACCGCGCCGCTAATGCAGACAATCCGAGTAAGCGGAACGTTACTCCCGGTCTCCTGAAACCACGCTCTAAACTACCTGTAGGAACTTTTAACGTCCGAACACTGCAAAATAGGACAACAGGCTTTCTTAGCTAGAACTTTAGAATCTCACACCATCGATGTGTGCTGCGCCTCCGAAACGCGCATACAAGATCCGAGTAGCGTCGTTCATTTGACCTCGCCATATCAAAATAAAGAACCAACTCGATTCACACTTCGTGTATCTGGAAGTCCTGATGCTCCTCTTCGTGGCCTCGCTGGTGTAGGTATACCATTGAATCCTACGGTAGAACTAGCTCTTTTAGACTGGATCCCAGTAGACAGTCGTCTATGCGCTGTTCGACTAAACAGAACAGTAAGGACTCGGAAAGATAGGGACACTCGTCGTTGCTTGTTCATCGTCTCTGCCTACTCTCCCGCTTACTGCAGCTCAGATGATGTAAAGGATGAGTTTTACAGAAAGCTTTCTGACCTTCTCCGAAAAGCTAGGTGCTTTTATGTAGTAATAGTGGCTGGTGACTTCAATGTTCAAGTAGGTAAACTAAGCGAAAGGGAAAGACACCTGGGTTGATCTTATGGTGTCGTGGCTCAAAAAACAGATAATGGCGACAGCCTGTTGCAGCTATGCTCAGATAATCACCTGTTTCTTGCAAATGCTGACTTTAATCACAAGGAAAAAAAAATTTTGACATGACGACCCCCGAATTCGTCCCAACATTAGACCCAACTAGATCACATCGCTATCAGCCACCGATGAAGGGGCTCGATAGAAGACTGTCGCTCATTCTGGAGCTAATGTTTAGATTCAGATTATGCTCTAGTGCGAGCATGTGTCTGTCTGCGTCTTACTAGACGTAGGAAAGACGCTGCAAGGAAATCTTGTAGTGTTCTATTTAATGATAGGCAGGCTAAGAATATATTTCAGGAACAACTAGAAAAACAGTCAGGCAGTCATGTAAGCTGTGGCCACCCCGAGGCAGCGTGGAATGACATCCGAAAAGCTGTGGAAACAGCAGTGATATCTGCTAGTACGGTAAACCATAAGGTTAAGGAGAAACACTGGATCTCAGCAGCATCTACTGCACTGATCGATACTCGAAAACTCATCCCATATGGCTCTGAACATAACGAAGTCAGCTTAAGCGCAGGTTAATAAGAAGCCTACGCAATGGTAGCGAAAGCAAGAGAGATGGTAAAGGTAGAGGTAATAGGCAACAGCAGACAAATGTTCAGACTTGTTAAGAAAACCGATATAAGGAATCCAACTGTTAGCGGAACTGTCTAGGAAAAAGATGGACATATTACTCACTGTCAGTCTAGGAGATTGGATCGATGAGTAGAACACTTTAGGGATCAGTTCAACTGACCTTCAGTCACACTTCAGTTTCCCATGATCTCTGATCGACCTGAATGGCAAGTTGATGTAAGTCCTCAAACTCTTTACGAGGTTGATAAAGCTATAGGAAATCTGAAGCGTGGGAAAGCAGCAGACCCTGACAGATTTACTCCTGAGTTTTTTAGAGATGGTGGTCCGGTGCTAGCACTGAGATTGACTGAGGTCTTAGGTAGAATCTGGGAACTGGACGTAATTCCATCGGACTGGTTCCAATAACCGATTGTGCCAGTCTATAAGAAAGGACAAAAGTCCTCTCGTGACAATCACAGAGGAATCAGTTTGACTAATAAAGTGTCTAAAATATTAGCTTCAATAATATTTCGACGCCTAACCAAAGGTCTTGAAGAGCAGATTAGAGGAAACAAGGATGGTTTTCGACCTGGACGTGGCTGTATAGACCAGATATTCACACTACGTCACGTCCTAGAATATAGACACATATTCAGGGGTCTCACGATAAGAGTATATTGTTATGTAGTAGCGAAGACATAAGTACGGGTAACTTGCAGGACCTACTATTGGACTATCATTCTTATTGTATAACTATTCGGTAACTAGATTATCTAAGCTTTATTTTGACCTATTGATTACTACTATATGATTTACTGTCCCTATGTTATACTCAGTTTTATTGATTATTGTCTCCCACGCTTACAGCCTCATTTGGCCTGGTTTTGTACAAATATTATTTTCTATTATGTGGTATGATGTGGCCTGTCTGTCTGATATATAAACAAAGTATGCTTGGAATAAACGATTCGTATTGCCGAGGCTGCTATTGGTGTTTTTGGACTCAATTGGACGGGTTGGGCGGATAAGGGCCAATAAGGACGCTAGATTACTCATACTAATCGAACGTCATTGTCACAGTGTGAAGGTCGTAGAAGTCGTATTCTATTGGTGGACAATTTACACGAATTACGTCCTTGTTAAATTCGTAAGGTCATAACGAATCAGCGACGACCTTGATCAAGTCATAACAATTGGCTACCGCCTAGGTCAAAAACATAACAAATTGGCGACGGCTAGGTCAAGTCATAACAATTGGCGACGGGGATTTCGGTAAAAAAAATACAAGAATTGGGACGTGATTTTGGCAACAACAAAAAAATACAGCAGTCGGTGACGTATTTTGGAATTAAATAAGCTGTAATAATTGCCGGCGGTTTTTGGAGTTATTATTATTATTAGCAGTTAAAAAAATGACGATTTCTCTGGAACAGTTGCAGATAATATTAGAGCAGCAGCATCAGCAGATGTTAAGCTTCCAGCAGAAACTATTTGAAACATTTTTGGACAAATTTTCCACTAAACAAAACGTCTCAGGAAATAAAGAAATTATTTATAATGGTGCGGAAATGGCCGTCTCAGAAGAACGCCAAGTTGAGGGTTCAATTCCCTTTATATCTGACGGAAAATGCAAAATTGGTAAGCTGGCTGGTTCAGAGCAAGACAATATCTTGCCTAATGCACATGAAACTGTGACAGTATCAGATGAGCAAGAAAGAAAAGGTTCCGCAGACAACCCCCTGAGTCCAGAATCAAACGAAACACCATCAAGTCCGCCCATCTCTGAAGACAAACTTAAGTCAGAACAGAAGTACAGTTTGCGTGATGTTGGCCAAGAAAACTGGAAGAACGCATCTCCAGAAAATAACTGGAACAGTACAGTTAACCAAATTGCGCCAAATGTGATTCGAAATCATGGGGAGACAGAAGCCTATAATATGGGTTCGCGTAATGATGCCCATAATTCTGATAAAATTTCGTATAAAGATGAGAAAAATAAGTCGGTCGAATCAGATGGTGATCAAAAATCTAATGCAATCTTATTAGATGCCGATTCTCCTAGTTATCTAATATCCTCTAGTGAAAACTTTAATGAATTTGATGGAGATATTTCAGAAAAGCTGAATTCCGATAACCTAAAATCAAATATCGTTCATCATCATCTATTCATTTCTAGTAGATTCTGCGTTCAATACGAGGAATATGTCCTAAATAAAGTCCTACTAATTGTCTTTTGGAGATATGAGGATCCAACATTATTTCGTGGGGGAGGAAATGTTGGAGAATTTCAACTTACAGATAACTTTTTTTAAAATCAGAAGCTAATCTTCGAATCTTCAAAAAAGGGGAGGTGTTATGTAGTAGCGAAGACATAAGTACGGGTAACTTGCAGGACTATCATTCTTATTGTATAACTATTCGGTAACTAGATTATCTAAGCTTTATTTTGACCTATTGATTACTACTATATGATTTACTGTCCCTATGTTATACTCAGTTTTATTGATTATTGTCTCCCACGCTTACAGCCTCATTTGGCCTGGTTTTGTACAAATATTATTTTCTATTATGTGGTATGATGTGGCCTGTCTGTCTGATATATAAACAAAGTATGCTTGGAATAAACGATTCGTATTGCCGAGGCTGCTATTGGTGTTTTTGGACTCAATTGGACGGGTTGGGCGGATAAGGGCCAATAAGGACGCTAGATTACTCATACTAATCGAACGTCATTGTCACAGTGTGAAGGTCGTAGAAGTCGTATTCTATTGGTGGACAATTTACACGAATTACGTCCTTGTTAAATTCGTAAGGTCATAACGAATCAGCCTAGGTCAAAAACATAACAAATTGGCGACGGCTAGGTCAAGTCATAACATATATCTCAACCTTAAGGCGGCATTTGACTCTGTTGATCGTGGGGTTCTGTGGCAGTGTTTGTCACTGAAAGGAATACCAAAGAAGTACATTAACCTTATAAAGGCTCTCTACTCGAACACAACTCGTCGAGTTAGAGCCTATGGCACACTGTCATCAGAATTGGTTACCTCAAGTGGTGTTCGTCAGGGTTGTCCACTCTCCCCATTCTTGTTTAACTTTATCGTTGACATTCTTTAAGAGATAACACTTTCATCAACTCAATCTCCAAGAGTTGAACTTTTACCGGGAGACTCACTTGTTGACTTAGAATACGCCGACGATATAGTTTTATTCGGTGAAGACTCTGACAAAATGCATAGTCTTCTGACCACTATAAGCAACTATGCAGGCATGTTCGGGATGCGATTCTCCCCCTCGAAATGCAAAATGTTACTTCAGGATTGGGTTGCATCGACACCTGAACTAATGATAGGGAGTGAAGTAGTTGAGCGTGTTGATCGCTTCACTTATCTTGGGAGTCTCATCAGCCCTTATGGTCTGGTGTGTGACAAAATCTCAGCACAGATACAGAAGGCTCGTCTATTTTTCGCTAACTTGCGTCATTTATGGCGTAGGCGAGATATCCGTCTACCAACCGAAGGACAGGTTTACTGCGCAACAGTTCTTCCCGTCCTACTTTATGGCAGTGAAACATGACCAGTAAGAGTACATGACATTCGTAGGCTCCTAGTATTCGATCATAGGTGTCTACGAAGCATTGCTCGTATGTCCTGGGACCACCGGGTAAGTAATGCAGTTGTTAGGAAACGGGTACTAGGCAAGGATGGCAAGTCGATTGATGAAGTAATGAAACTTCATCAGTTGAGATGACTGGGACGTGTTACGTATGCCCAACCACCGACTGCCCCAACGTGCAATGTTTTATGGTGTAGGAGTAGGTTGGAAGAAAGCTAGGGGCGGTCAGACCAAAACGTGGCACAAATCCTTGAGGTCACTGACAATTGGACTGAGCCATGTTGGTTGGTGTAGAATGCCTGGTTGGAATCCGCGAGATGATAGCAATCGATGGTTAGAGACCTTGAATGACATGGCTCAAAATCGTTTGCAATGGCGAAGGTACATCCACTCTGTGTTTTGCCAAATTCTAGTCTTCTGAATTCTTCATGTCCCTTTCCTCTCAAAATTTATTTTACTGGACTATGCTCCTTAAATAACATCTTCGGACCCTAATCTTTCGGATTACTGCTCATACTTTTACTACGTCTACCACTATGGGATTTGAATCAACAACTGCATCTGTGCTGTGGTATGGCAACTTGAACTGATATACTTACGCACGAAGTTCTACGCTATTGCTGTCTGTCTGACAGTATACAAGTATTAAAAGAATTTTTCTGGTTTGCCTAAACTCTAATAAAGAGTAACTTCACCGTGGAATCCACTAGCTAGTCATACTAGAAGGGTTTCAGCTACGAACATGAACAAATCCGGTACTACTGAATTGAATGTTCAATTCTGATGAGCGAAATAAGAACTACATCTAAATTTAAAAGATAACTGAGATCGTTCGGTAAACTCTGAATAATCTATTGTTCATTTCGTGTAGATATCTACAAAACTGGCAGATTTTGATAACCTGCGGTGGTAATTTACAAGCAGTAACTTCATAATTCTTTGGAGTTAAAAACATTCCAAATACAAAAATAATCGTCGCTTGAAAAGAATATTCTAAGCTTTATAAGACTACAAAGTCGAAGAATATGCGCATGCAACAATTTTCAACCACTGATAGATGTTCCCTTAACGACAGTCAAATTAATTTTTCCAGTGTAATATAAAATAATTGCAAAATATATGCATTATTCCTGATAAGTGATTTTGAAGACGTTTTTAATTTTAGCTGTTTAAAAATTGCCTACAAAAACTTAGTACGTAAAAGGAAACTGACTAAGTACCACTTACAATTCCCATCACAAACTTAATTCGGCAAGAATTCAAATCACACACATGTATATTATCGGCATTTTATTAGATCAAGCAGTTCCTATATATGTGAAGAAATATATCAGCATGAAAAAAATGAGAGGAAATAAGAACAAGAAGCCGCTGCCTTAACAAGTGAAATCAAAAGAAACAATGACGAACCAGATTACGGACGAAGGCAGGAAATACGATCAAACACATGTACAACACCCATTACTTGTACAATAAACAAATAATACTTCATTTATACAACATACACAAGATAAATGTTCATTTAAACGAACGCAAATCAGATTAAAATGATTAAAACATTCATATGAAAAAGTCAAAGATTTACAAGATTTTAAATTGAAACAAAGTCGTTTAGGCATACTGAAACTGCCTGCAGTAATTTTACATGTAATTTGAAAGTGATGACAAGACGACCGGGATCAATAGTTTTGGAATATTAATATGAAATGCATAAGGTTAAAGAAATTAAACATAGTAATGAATATGAGATGACTGATTTATTAAAATTTTGAACAGCAGTTCACACCAATAGAGGATTGGCGTTTATATGAATATAATTTCACATATACTCATCAGGAAACAATTCGTTGTACAGCTAAAAAGTGTTAAGTGGACTGTTGTCCAATAAAAACTGAATACCGGATATTATTGTACATTTGAAAAACCGGCAATCCACTGGAGCACCAAAATAATGAGGTATGTTGATAAAAGAATAGAAAATACACAAGCAATATACATACACGAATCGATAACAATTTAGGTGAAGTCTCTGGGGAAGGCTTGATAACCAGCTGATAACATAGTATGTTCGTAGGTTATTTAAAAAATTTTAAATGTTACTTAAGATGAAAAATATGACATTGGTTGAGATAAACTTAATGTATCAAAATAAGAATCTGTACAAAAATGCTTTGATGAACTGAGTTTGAGAATATAGAACTCTGAGATTATTGAACGAGAATAAGACAGTATGAGAACTGAGGTCACAAAAAGAAACCATCATAAACTGAAAATGATTGGATTTAATATTAGAAAAGATTGTAAGTAATCCGTGTATAATGTATACATTGGAGTATCAAATAGTTAGATAATCTGCTTTATATTAAAATCAACATACTGCCCCGTTATTGTTTGTCGATGAGCGATCGTTGTTTGAGTTCATTTTTTGTGAAGCACAACCCACTTTAGTTAGATCTAATTGGGCTTGCAGGCTATCTCTGATGCGCAGAAGGGTTTGTTCGACATTGTCGAAATGACCAGTAACGACGTCAGGATAAAAGAAAAAGCCTTCATTATTTTTAGAATACTTTGAGGGATGTTTAGAGATTGTACAAGAAAACTTCTTTGTATTTAAGTAAGGCTGACTGGAAACTCGGTGATGCCACGGAGAAGTGTTACGTTTTTCTCGTTCATAAGATCGCGTTTCTTGCCACACACGTATTTCGTTATCGCGTTGTATGAAGTATTCCAATGACCCAGATAGATGAGTTGGGTTATCTTCTGGATTCTCCTCGATATCATACGATGGAGCAACCGGACTGTTTGAAGACACTGGATGTCCGGAGAATGAAGGGATAGGAGGAGGTGGTGGTGGCGGTGGAGTGCCTGTGGAAATCACCAAACCATAGAGATGTTGAGAATCATCTAAGTTAAATGTTTTCTTATAGTAATGAGCCAGTCTATCAAAATGTATCTCTTTAGTAGAAACTGGTATATTAACTGAAGGTTTTTGGTCTACAACTTCGGAACCAATACGAACCTAAAAGTACAAAAAAATACCAAATTTTCAGAGTCAATGAGAAGTATCTAAGGTTCAGTAAACTGAAAATCCAAAATTAACATTAAAACAGCTAAAGGAACATATGATCATTACAACATCAAAATTAAAGTAAATAGTGTGTTTTATATGTGAAGTCTCTAAATCAGTTAAATATCGTATAATTTGCAAAACAATGAAATAAGTTTCTAAAGCCAGTTAGTTTTTTAAAATTATTTCATGGTAAAAATAAAAGATAAGAATCACCCATCTGTTTATTTAATAACAAGACTTCATAGTCGCTTAATTGTTAACTGAATTACTCCATTAAATATAACTTAATGCAAAATAATCGTTTTAATAAAACTAGATAAAGCAATAAGAATATGAAGTTTATCTGATTGACCCGTATTTCTAAAACGTATATACCTTAACAGGCTAATACGCAATCAGACTGTTCGAAACGTATCGCATTAATACATTACAGTTTTTTGTCGTCATATTACATTATCATAATAACCAACTTTTACTTAAAAACTGGAACCAAAAAAACACGAAAATAGTCAACTCACTTGATCGCACTCCTTAGTATGATCGATGTCATGTAAAAGATTCTCACGATTAATTGGTTTTGAAGAAGTAAACATGTTATCTCGAAAACAAGAATCAGAAAATTTTCTAGAATTTACATCTGGAGGAGAACTGTTCCTGAAAGGTAACTTTTCTGAGGCTATACGAGAGTCTGAGAACGCAGATGTTGGTGAGCTGTGAGAGGAAAGCACTTTACCAGGAAATCTTATGAACGGTTCAGGAGAACTACTAAGAGCACCTCTACTAACAGGATTTATAGAATCGACCCCAATATCTTCATCATCATCTGGTGGTTCGCTTGGCGTTCGAGGTCCACGTTCATTTACTTTTGCATCAATAAAATCACGTTCGCCATCGAATTCACATCTTTTTGGTGTATTTGTGTAAGGTGATAGGGGTTGATTGAAATCATGAAGAACTTCAGGTTTTGTGTTCAATGATGTAATTTTTTGCAGTAACCCGTCAGAACATTTTACGTCAGAGGACAGCTTTGACTCATTGTGAAGATTTGGGAGTGTTGTTAGTAATCGATCAGGACTAATCAGAGTTGGTGGGATTATAATTTCTAAATTATCAATATTACCGTTTGATTGATCAAGTGGCTCTTTCATCTGCTTATGATTTCGTTCCGCAGAGGGTGTGAGGGCTGGCAGACCACGACGTCGACGATATTCAGAGAGAGAAACACGAACTTTACGTATCTCTTGCAATCGCAACTCTTCAGCTTGTTGCTTCACTGTAGCTTTCTTCGGAGGAAGCTACGAAAGTAAGAGAAATGTATTAAAAATCCAAGGAATTAAACATAGACGAAATAGTGAATTTATTTCAAAGTTGTAGAATTCTTTAGACTTTGCCTCAATGTTCGCTAGTTCCAATGAAAAAATTTTTTTTCTGTGACTGAGATTTGATAAAAATACACACAACTACTGTCCCTACGAACCGACACGCAATACGTTTTTTTGTAAATTTTGTTTCGGTAACAAACTTCAGCAAGCATGTTACCTCTACTGTTTCTTTTTAAATCAGGGAGAACTGAGTTAACTGAGATTATATTTAACGAGACATATAACAGCGACTAACTAAATAAAGTATAACGACTGTTTCTTGACTAAGATATAGTTGAATTTTTCAGCAGTGGGACAATGGAGTCAATTTTCATCAAAAGTTGTTGTATCACATAAATTTGTAATGTATGTTAAGTAATGAGAAAAATGTATACACGTTAGGTTTCACACTCTTCAAATCCAGAAACAAACAAATACATGCGCAGACCGATTACTCTTAGACCTTCAAAGTGAAAATCGCTATAACGTAGTAAAAATGGGGTTAATCAAGTATAAATTATTTTACCAATGGCTATATGCCCTGGACAAACTGTGAGCACCTGAAAAACTCAAAGAAATAGTCCTAAGATACAGAATATTAATATAAGTGTATACCTCTGACGAAACACTTATTTTATCATCGGTAATTTTGTATGGTGTAATAATTTTCCTTGTTCTACACAACTAGCCTCATAATAGAAACTTACAGGAGCCAGATGAGTTGATAAAGCATCGCAAAACTCAGTATCTTCTTGTGACTCTGAAATAACTTTACAATCTGGATTGCAAACCACTTGTTCATCATTTGGATTGTTTACTAAACGATCAGACAAAATTGTGACACTTTCTTTCTTGAGATTATCATCGCTTTCGAAATACGTACAAATAGGTAAGTCTTCAGAGATCCCGGAAAGTCGGGAGATAATTCTCTTTTTCGGATTAACTGGCGTAGCACATGAATTCTGTATGACCAAAGAAGAATCGGATTTAGTGGATAGTGAATGATTAATTGAGTGGGGACAGTTTGAAAAATTATTATGGGATGACTCTACATCTTCTTCCATTAGAGCCTAAAACAGTAGAAAAGAAATCGAAAATGTGATTGGATAAGAAAGCTTTTTCAAAAATATTAATTCCCTTATTAGCTCATGTTTTTTCCACTAATGAAACTGTCGCTCAGTGTCTCTGGTTTTTGGTTTCCATCAATTAGATTAGCTCCATCTACTAGGATTTAAGCGGATAATAGATTATAAAATATTAAACCCCAAGTATAGTTCGCAGCCAAATTGGCTTTTCATATATCTGTCGAGCCTCTTCAGTCACTAACACACTGATTAATATAACCCATTATCTCTAAAAGTGTTTATAAAATATTTTTAGTGCCTTTACTAAACAAATATGTAGTCTGTGTAGTACATGTCAAAGAAAGATTTCATGCGAATAGTTAATTCATTACGACATAACAAAACGAAGTTTGGACTGACAAGATCCGATTTGGGACAATATACTTGAGACAACAAGTATCCTCATAATGTTGGCACACATTATTTATGCAGAAGAAGCTAATGATTTGACCACAGGATAATGATTAACTCCGATATTACTGAAAATGTGGATGACCGGCACTTAGAAAATTCAAGTGAGAAGCCTGGAGAACAACCGCCTGCGATCAGTCGCACACAACTCTTAGCAAACACTTTTCCAGTTCCGTAGTGTGACGTTTACATTTTTAGATGTTAACGTCCACAGTGAAAATTCACAAAGCCACTGAGTGTTACTTTTAACCTTCAGATTTTCAAGCCCCTTCTTTTATTTGAAAGAAACCAACCCAATATCTCATCGATAATCGCAAAAGCCAAGCTGGCTTTCACCAAGGTTAGTAGTATGAATATTGAAATGATGCAATGACTTGGACAGACTATTATGGTTTAAAAATATAACATTTAAAGAAAATCAAAACCAAGATCAAGATCGTTTCAGCCTTTTTTAACAACAAACTGAAACCGAATGATGACCACATCCCATTTGTTCCCTTACCTAAAACTTAAAAGCAAGTTACAACTGAGGATAAAAAGACTGACTAAATTAATAGGCGTGACTTTATTTTCAAGACATTCAAAATTTAGCAATAAGACTAGTACACAGAAGATTTCCTTGAAAACTTAGATTAACTTACCCGAGATAACCACCGTTTCTTTGTAGGTCTAGGAGTTTGATGCATAAATGGTTGTGTTAAACAAGATGTTGACATATCGTCAACAGATGTATAAACATCTTGTCGTGTGTCAGCTACTGTTTTTTCAGATATTTCATCATGAATTGTTGGGAACAAGGAATGCATATCAAGTGAACGAGTTCTGCTAAATTTAGCCATTGGATCTTTTTCGCGAGTTCTATAAACTATAAAACCACAATCCGCTTCAGAATCGAGAGCTTGTTGATTACTACTGATCTGATTAGATGATTCATTACCACCCGTAAAAACTGTTGTATCGCAACCAGATGTGATATTGAATTTAGACAAATTGGGTGGTAAATGCTGAAGACAAATGTTTGGGTTATGATCATTTTTTGGTGATTCACTTTTAACACCCAACGCTTCAAAGAGTGTAACTCTCATATTTGATCCATCTTTAATACGATTACCCGATGACATGTGACTCTTATCAGATATATTCTCCATGTCTGAAGAGAGTTGTGATACCTCCTGATGATCACTTAATTCAGCGATACGTCGAAGTTGCATTTGAAGCCAACGGTCTTCTCGTGAACCACCTTGATCAACGGATGACAAGCTATCAGACAACATGGCTGCTTGGGAACGCCGGCGTCTCTGTTTGTGACCGACAGAACAGTGCTTTTGGTACGTAAACTTGGACCCAGTGAATTGTTTTAACTGCTTTCTTTGAAAACCTGTGTCGCTTTCTTCTGAAATATTTTGATTACAAGCTTTGGACGGAGATATACTTTTATCATGTTTGATATTTTGTGATAAACCAGAACAATGATTTGATTCACAATCAAACAACTCAGGCTTTTCGAAAACGTTTGTAGGTTCTAAATCATTCAAGTAGGTCTCATTGGTGATAACATTTTTATTATCCTTATCACATTCTAATGCTTTTGAGTTAATATCAGAACTTCCTCCAGGCTCCATTGCACCACCTGTTGACTTGACATCGTTATTGTCTGATATTGAGTCAGGTTCCGGAGATTTTTCAGTGGGAGAAAACAGGTTCGGGTCATTTTTAGTGCAATCAGCGTTTTGACTACTTTTTAAACTGATCGAAGACACGCGTTGCTTTAATCGTTTTTTTTCCATACGCTCTATACGACGTAACACTTCTGCCATCCATACATCTTCCTTTGATTTCTAAATGATACAATACAGGATTTTATACTCTTAGACGGCAACTTTAAAAAATGAAAATATATACTGACTTTGGAAACATTAATATTTATACAAACAGTATAAGTAATCCCATCTGATACAATCTGAAAAACCAAATCATAATGACCATGCAGTAAATTTTGGTTTTGGTAATAACCATTCCATTTAACGGATACAAAATAAAGTCAATTAACATACTTGATTTATCAATCAGGAAGTAATCTTAATGTTATGTCTATTGTAATCATGCATATGTAAATAGATGAAATCGCATGAAATGATTTCTTTTCAACATCTCGTTTAATAGCTGATAATTACTCTAGAACTGAAGGACAGAGCAACTGAGTAACAATGACATGAAATTGAAGGTGCGTTTCTACTCCTCTACATGCAGGTAGTTGCTCCAGATCTGGCCTGCATCAACAACTGAACTAAGGATAGGAAGTGAAGTAGTCGAACGCGTCGACAACTTCACTTATCTTGGAAGTTTGATCAGCCCTAATAAGTTGGTGTCTGACGAAATCTTTACACAAATTCAAAAAGCTCATTTGGCTTTTGCCAACTTACGTGACCTATGGCGAAGGTGAGATATCCGTTTATCGATTGAGGGACGAGTATACTGCGCGGCAGTTCGTTCTGTTCTACTTTACGGCTGAGAAACGCGGCCATTAAGAGTAGAAGATACTTGTAAGTTACTAGTATTTGATCACAGATGCCTTAGAAATATTGCTCGCATCTGCTGGGATCACCGGGTAAGTAATAGTGAGGTTAGACACAGGGTATTAGGGAATGACGGTAAATCAGTTGATGAGGTCATGAATCTTCATCGACTGAGATGGTTGGGTCACGTGTTACGTATGCCTGAACACCGATTACCACGACGCGCAATGCTGACTCGTGTAGGAGATGGTTGGGAGAGAGTTAGGGGCGGCCAAACCAAAACGTGGCATCAGTCCTTGAAGTCACTAACTTCTAGTCTGAGCCATGTTGGTAGATGCAGACTACTTGGTTATGGTCCGCGTGACTATCGTAACCAATAGTTGGAGACTCTGGGTGATATGGTTCAGAATGGATCACTGTGGAGTAGGTGTATACACCCTCTGTCTTCCCTCAAACTGTGAGATTTAAATTAATTTATATCTTTCTTTCTACGTACTAATTCTTTCTCCCTGCATCATATCCTTTTATGAAATCTTCTTTTACTACTAGTGAAGTAATTGCTCCTATGAATTCGATGCGCTAATGAGGTATGGCAATTTCGATTGATGCATATATGTGCCTGGTCATACGCTATAGCTGACTGACTGACAAGAACAGATATTTTGAAGGTGGTAATGTGGGTACAAATTGAAAGAGGGTGTTGAGTACTAAAGTGAACTGATTAAAATTTTGTTTACTTTCGTTTAGAAAGCGAAGACTCTAAAGTGATGAGTACAAGCTTTATATGAAATCTAATCCTGTATTAACTAAAATTATCATTAAAATACAACTGGTAGCTAATTTACACACTATCCCGTAATAAGCTTCTAAGGTCAATAGATCAAGAGTACATTATGGTACTCAATAGCCTCTGGTATTTATGCTCAAAATATGAATTATTACTTTCCATACATGAACTTGCGTAGAATCGTGTACAGACCAATAAGCATCAGTGTGAAGTGACAAGTTTAGTGAGTAAATATGAACTTCCGATTAGTTTCAGGATTGTTGAGAACAAGAGAAATTTAAGATAACCTTTGTGAATCTTGTGTCTCTATAACTAGGATTAGGGAGTGCATTTGTCATGACCAGGCTATATTGTAGTATAGTAGAAACAGTTAAGTTAGCTACAATGAAGATGATTTAATTTTCGATAACGAAATAAACAGAAAAAGTTGAAGCACAACGACTAACCTTGTCTACTTTTTGTTCAATTGAAGTACTTCTTTTACGTGATTTAGAAAAATGATCATCGAGTGTACTTATCTGTGAACGCCGTTTTCCACGGTCAACAAGTGATGACGAATCAACCTAAGGTAAAAGATAAAGTTTTAATCAATTGACATCTCATGATAAATTAATTAATAAAGATACTTGGAGAAACTTGAACACTACTCCCTGAAGAATTCAACACTGGTTATTGGAAAATGAGTACAACAGCTAGACTCTTTTTCTTTAGTTGTGCTAAATCTATACTATAACTACGATATATAATCATCAACAAATATTTCGTACTACGAAAAATCAGTGATTGTTGACGTTAAGCAAAGATGCAGTGAATATAAAAGTAAAATATTGTTCAGGTTATAGTACCATATCACGAAACATTTATGTGATGCCACTCAAATAACTGAAAACTGAATTGGTATGTCTGAACCTGGATTATATTTCGACTTCAATTTTAACCCTACGAGGGCAGATAAACCAGTTTTATGAAAATCCTACTACGAGACGATAGAGACCTCCCTTAAATACCTTTCAAATATCCGAAACAAGATTAGTGTTCCATATAATGAAATGGTTAATATGTGTCACCTATGTTTAACCACCGCAGCCTGACGACTGAGTGAGTGAATTTTAGGTACGTTGATAAATAATCTTTGGATCCCGTGTTTAATAGGCGCGGTCCGTCTGATGTATTATCTATGTTTGTGAGGCCTTTTAATAAGTGTCTCAACTTCTTGGGTTATATTACAACTGACGACAGATTATGGCCAGCTCTATAAAATAATCCAGTTTACACAGAAATCAATTGCATTTTGTATTTACAATAATGAGAATAAAGTTCAAAACCAAAAGGATATATGTGATGACTATCCTGATTTTCAGTCTAAAAACTGTCTGTTTACGAAGACATTATCTAAATTTTATGAACTTTGGATATAAACGAGATTTAATAAACTCTACATCATGTTAAAGTTTGGTGCATACAATAATAGCAACATACCTAAGTGAGTAACTAAAAAAGGAATAATTTTTAAAAAATGTTGTTTAGAAAAAAGACTTACAGATTTGCGCTTAGAAATATGACTTTCGTGCATTTCAGCTTTTACATAGTCTAAATCAGATTGTCTAGGAGAATTATTTGAGGTATAAGACTCTTTTGTTCCTTTGGAATTAAGACGGTCCTGACGGGAGTTAGGCTGTACATATTTTCGGCCTACTGATCTATCTGTTAACTTTTCTGGTTGTACGTCATATTCCGGTTCAGTGTCAGCATCTAAATCCTCTCCCAATAATTCATTATTCGATTTACAGCCGATATCTGTGTTATCAAGGACTTCTTGATTGTCTCTGTCGAATGACTTTTGTGGAGAGTCATTTGCTTTAACAGGAACCGATTGTAATCTATCTAAACATTCTATTTCGTAAGAGCAACTGCTTTTACCAGAAAAGTTATGCAAGTCTCTTTTCTTCACTACATTTACAATACTATCACTAGATGATGACACTGGATGTTGACCACTGTGAGAATAGAAATTACGTTGTGAACGACGTTTTCTGGCAGTTGTCAAGGATTTCGAATTGGACTTCCTAAGGTACACTATTCTGGAAGACAGTCGCTCCGTTCCACGTTTGCTACGCACTCCAAGAGAACTAGAACTTCTTAATCGCCCCCGTCCACGGCCTCTCCGATGAATAGCTTTACGAACTCCACATGAAATGCCTGATTTATTCAAGTAGCCACGAGTGGTTCGGTTAGATCCTATTTGATGTGATCCTGAAGTTCTCCTACAAAAGGAAGTTAGAAAAAACTGGACACCAGGTTTGAACAAAAATAAACATCGATAAGGAACCACATAATAATGTTAGTCGTAAACTTGGAACCACGTAGTTACGTGAAATACTACCTTGAGAACGCTTCAGAAATACAAATACACAACAGCCGTAAATTGTTACAACGATGAATGTATGTAATCCCAGATTTCAACATGAAGATCGAATAATAAACAAAACAAACTAAATATAAAAAAATTCTGACACTTTAAAATTCTGCATGGTTGGGAACTAGTGTCATGATTTGAATCTAATTGTTTTACCAAACATACTGATTCAAACTAGTCATTGTTTAAATCTGTGCAAATTATGTCAACAGCCTGAAGAAACATTAATATGACCATAGGGATGGAAGCAATCCAATTTGTAAACAAGTGATTGATAATTTTTTTAATTTCCGTGTATCTTTACCTTTAAGGCACTTTTTGGTGACATCGGCTAGACTTTACATCCAGCAGACTAAATTTAGGTGCAATAACTTTGTATGCTACTCGCTCGTGAAATGTTTGTGAAAGTAATACTTTAGATGAAGTTATACTATACAGGCGCTCTTTAACAATCCTGGAAATAACCTTGAGAAAGTTTTATTCGTTTTAGTCAATTAAAAAACAGGTAGGATGAATAAATAACTTGTAGTGAAATGCGAAATTAGTTTTCCAAAATATGATAGAATCGAAATGCTATTTCCAGTAAATTCCAATCTGGAAGACTAAAACACATTTTTACTGTCGAAAAATGTTTAGTCAAGAACCACGATTTACACGGACAAATAGGATGTTTGTACATGAATTCGGAGACTCAGATATAACCACTTTGTAGTTGTACACTTGTTATGATTTCCCAGCTATTTCTATTGCTTAGTATTGTTGGACACCAATTCACTCGACAAGTCCCCAAATCAGAACACGGTTGAATAGGAAGAAACTATATTCCGAAGATGGGAGTAAGAAGCGAAATAAGAGATACGTTAGAATATTTATAGTTTTTACATGAGATTTTAGAGTGTTCTCCAAGTATCGAATAGCGCTGATTGAATAAGAAATAGCCAATCGGCGTGCACCAACACAATCGTGCACGGAACATGCTTTTATCCTATCTATGTCCCGCTAACAACACTTTATTAGACAAATGATTCTAAGTGGTTGCTGGACACATAAAAGGTAGGATAGGATTTGATACCGTAACACAGTGACCGAGTTGAATGTATAGGCTATTTAGGCAGATAGTAATTCACAATCAGTCATAAGTAATGTAGAACCTGATACGTGTATCGATCGAAGCTACCACACTACATCACTAAGGAGATAATAAAAAACTAGGCATGGAGAATATGATTCAAGAAGAATGAATGGATTCGTAGGATGAAATGTATAATACAGCTTCAAAACACAGGATCCAGCGGAAGACAGAGTGAGTGTGTCTGCACCATTAAGACTAATTCTAGGACATATCACCCAACGCCTTGAACTATTAGTCACAATAATCACATGTATTTCAACCAAACAGTCGGTACCTATCTACATCGCTCAGCTCGACAGTCACTGACTTCATAACTGATGCTACGTTTTGATTTAGCGATCCCAAACATTCTCCTAACCCGCTTCTTCAGCCAACATAAGTCGCAGAGGTGGGTAGGTGTGAACAAGAGATGTTTTAACCAACTAAATCGATGAAGATCCATAATCTTGTCAACTATTTTAACACTGTCACCTATGACCCTAAGTCTAATATAAACATTGTTTACTTAGTGGTCCCAAAACACGCAGGGAATGTGTCCGGAAGCACATATGATCAAATAGTAGTAACCTAGACATGTTTCCTACCTATAACGACCAGGTATTACGAATAAAAAGCAAACTGTTTGATAGTGTTCTACCTTCCGTTGACAGACGCATATCTTACGTACGCAACACGTGACCCAAACTTTAAAAAGCCAAGCGAGCCTTTCTGAATCCGTAATGCATAATAACAGACCTCACATCTTGCTTTTAAACACACTAAAAGTACCCCAATAATCCACTCCGCATTCTTATTACTCACAATCACTGACTACACATTTTGGTACTTTGAGATAGAGGATATAATTATTATATATTACCTTTAAAGAATTACGTCTAGAAATAAGGACAAACTTGCTCCGTATTTCTTTCGCGACTTTTGAAACTTAATTTTAACATGTCAATCGGTCTGAAGCATTCAAAATTACAGACAATTTGTAACCTCTAGAAACAACTCAAAGTTAACTTTAAAGTATGAACAAATGTGAGATAATTTACTGAAAATGAAACCATGTGGACTGAAGAAATTTAGCAGCGTGTCAAGACAACAAAGGGATTGAAAATCACGGTGAACTTAAAGGTATAAAATTTTCTTACTCATTCGAAATAGGACTCGGAAGGTAACGGCCTGTTCGATTAACAGGGAGGTTTCTCAAATTGGTGTTTACGGAAGATTTAGGACAAAAAACTGACTGTTCATCGGAAGGATCCTTGTCATCGTAATGAGACTGGGAGCTTTGTAACAGACTAAGACCACGAGAATGACCGTTGACTCCATATGAGTGGGGTGAATGTGGTAATTTGCGAGTGCATACCAACGAATGGCGAGTTGAACTTCGCAAAGGGTTGCTCAACTGATTCATTCTTTGGAACCAACGGGTAATCGGACAACCTTTAAGAACACATGCACACTTAACAAGATACCGACAAGCTGTATAGTCAAAATCAAAAGGTAGAGTTATTTCAGATGACTTTGGAATAACCCGTGATGCAACAACGATGAGACGAAGATGAGGAACGGGTCCATTATGTTGATCATCTGAAAAGGAAATGCAGTGGCGGACCTAAAAGGAAAATAAAAACCCATTTTAAAGTCATTTGGGAGGCATTAAGTAGAAAATTAACGAGTGATAGTATACGAAAGATGAACAGCTACTATTCGTACTATGTAGAAATTTAAATAACTTGAAATAGCAGTAGTATAAGAGGTATAAGTCATTCATGGACAACGTAGGAGCTAATACGAATCTGTACTTTACTAAGCTAACAATTCAAAACAGAATAATATTACCAAAATGAAAATTTGAGGGATGACTAAAATGAAATGGAAAACCAAAAGTGAGGAATATCGAATATGACCAATCCAAGGATTCATGTCAGAAAGTTTTTATCCACTAATGAGCCAAAAGTAAACCGATGTCTTTATGGATTGATTTAACGACCCAACGTTTACATAACTGGTAGTGTTAATCCTTTAGAATTTTCACTGAACCATTTTACTAGTGAGTAGTAGACGTTCTTGGAATACTGCTGTTCTTACCTGAGGAGTTCATGGGAACTATTAATTGGATCTTTAGAACTAATCAGCCACTAAATTGGAGTTTGAAAGCTCGTCTTTAAATAACGTCAAATTTTTGTTACATAACGTTGACTTTTTAGACACTGAAAAAACGACTAATTCCCGATGGACTTTTATCAAAAGGAATTTTCATGGAGTTTTTTATGACATAAATTACGGATTCTATAACTATAACTGGTGAAAATAAACAATGAAACACTTTGCATTAGGACAAGATTTTCACGAGAGAGAGAATCAATGTCTAGGAGGAAAACCATAACATCTTCCAATAAAGCTATGATTAATGATCATTTTAAGTAGCGTAAAATTCGATTATTAGAATTTTAATCAGAACTAAAAAGTAAAACTCAATTTTAACAATAAAACAAATTACCTCAGAGTTAGGTGTACATGATCGACGGATGAAGCGTGCTTCATTGCCATACTTGCGAGCATCAACACAGAGAGGTAACTTCGGGAAAGATTTGTAAAACAGTACAAACGGATTGTAACTAAAAGAAAATAACTATAAGAAACATAGTTACTTACTGTTTGCGGTAGTCGTACATATCGTTGTATTCACTGAGTAACAAACAATTACCACGGTACTCAATAATCGGCGTACGAGGACAAATGTCTTCATTTGCTATTAGGCCCTGAAAAATGAATTTGAACTTAGGTATTACAAATACTTAAAATTTTATTCTAAATGACAAATTTGAGGTAATAGATCTACACAAAATATCTCACCCTGCGGTTGAAGTCGAAACTAACAACCTGATAACGGAACAAACGCTCGAGATCAGAAGGAATTTCTTCGTTAAAAATACCATCTATGTCGCCACAGTCTGCTCCTATGCCAGTAAGCAGAGGAAACATTAAACTGAGTTTTTTGCAAACACGGCTTGAAAGATGTAGAGTCTGGGCTTCTTCATAGATATCTGATAGAGGAGATAGTACAGAGTCAGGTGCTGAACAAGGAGGGGAGGTATGGCACACTTCATTTACCTGAGTAGATGCATTTTGTACCTTATTATTTGGGCAATCTGTAATTAAACGATGTACAATGCTGCTATGACGAATTTGCACTTTATCGGACACATGGATTGGATGACTTCCTTGTGTTTGGCATACGTTCAATGAACCCTCCATGAAGCAGCTCTTTAAATCAGTGGCATAAGATGGTCGCATGTTTGACAAGTCATCATAGTCATCCAACACCGGAAGTGAGCTTGAAAAGCCCTCAATGCCTGCATTTGCGGAGGATGATCCACCAGTGACTATAAGAATATTCAAAAAACACATGATAGAGAAAACAAGTTTCGATAATAAGCACTGAAAACAGTAAATTCATACAAAATTAAAAATACATATTACGGTGCTATGTCATCCACTTCATTGACAAATTTGAAAAATTATGAAGCTGTGAAGAGATGTAATAACTGGGGCTGATGCATGAACGAAGACTCCGACACAGGTTGTCACCACCCAACTAAATAACACTGCAAGATTCAACCTCCACATAAAATTGGACTATAGTCTATGATGAGTAGTGAGTAAGCATTCAGACAGTCAGCTATACCGTATGACCAAGCACATATATGCATCAATCGAAATTGCCATACCTCATTAGCACATCGAATTCATAGGAGCAATTACTTCACTAGTAGTAAAAGAAGATTTCATAAAAGGATATGATGCAGGGAGAGAGAATTAGTACGTAGAAAGAAAGATATAAATTAATTTAAATCTCACAGTTTGAGGGAAGACAGAGGGTGTATACACCTACTCCACAGTGATCCATTCTGAACCATATCACCCAGAGTCTCCAACTATTGGTTACGATAGTCACGCGGACCATAACCAAGTAGTCTGCATCTACCAACATGGCTCAGACTAGAAGTTAGTGACTTCAAGGACTGATGCCACGTTTTGGTTTGGCCGCCCCTAACTCTCTCCCAACCATCTCCTACACGAGTCAGCATTGCGCGTCGTGGTAATCGGTGTTCAGGCATACGTAACACGTGGCCCAACCATCTCAGTCGATGAAGATTCATGACCTCATCAACTGATTTACCGTCATTCCCTAATACCCTGTGTCTAACCTCACTATTACTTACCCGGTGATCCCAGCAGATGCGAGCAATATTTCTAAGGCATCTGTGATCAAATACTAGTAACTTACAAGTATCTTCTACTCTTAATGGCCGCGTTTCTCAGCCGTAAAGTAGAACAGAACGAACTGCCGCGCAGTATACTCGTCCCTCAATCGATAAACGGATATCTCACCTTCGCCATAGGTCACGTAAGTTGGCAAAAGCCAAATGAGCTTTTTGAATTTGTGTAAAGATTTCGTCAGACACCAACTTATTAGGGCTGATCAAACTTCCAAGATAAGTGAAGTTGTCGACGCGTTCGACTACTTCACTTCCTATCCTTAGTTCAGTTGTTGATGCAGGCCAGATCTGGAGCAACTACTTGCATTTAGAGGGGTACAGAACATTCGTAGGATGTGGCACGACTATAACATAATTTTAAGAAAATATGGATAGAAAATGAAATCTCTCAATCAGTTATAATCAAAATAGTCCCAAATGTGTTCCGGCCCAAGCGTCCTTACCAAATCAGCACAGGAAGATAAAAAAATAACAAGGTGAATAGCCAAAAAGTAAAAATAATAGTAGTATCAATGGTGATCGAAAAGATTAGATGCTGGAAATCTCTCCAAAAGGATGAATCTCAGGAATAAAGTGTGAAATGATAGAAAAAGAGAAAACGAAATAAGGGGATAGATAAAGCCGTTTTCAGATATATTTTAGCCATAAAGAGCTGATTCAGTAACTGAGACAAGTTTTCGTTCAGATTCTTGAATTTTGAGAACAGGTGTTTACTTCTAGGCTGAGTACCGATAGCTTGCAACTTTTCACTGCAAATCCACCTTTCATTCTCGAATCATATTTCATATGAGGAATTTTCCCCACTACAATTGATACTACTCCCATGGCATTACCTCTGATATTTTTTCAGTGTGCTGATGTTATGTGGCAACCCTGACCGATGCACAGATATCAGGTTTCACATTGCTTACAACTGACTGACTGAAAGATGAATTACCTTACTGTTCCAGGTTTCATAACTCCTTAGTTTCCTTTAACAGAAACAAAACCCTCTAAAAGATAAACTTGATGTGGGAAATACATTCCTTTTAAATATAGTAGAAGCAGGATTTTTATTCTGATAAATACACTATTTATTTAGCACACTGAATTTCACTTGACAAAGGTTTCACAGTTTCTCGCATACAAGTTATATTTTGAAGCCAATGATTACTAACGCTCCTTAAGTCGCAATAATAGCTGCATATAGCTATATAGATGTATTACTTTTGGTATTGTTAGGATTTTGAGCTTGTTAGTCTAATAGAGGACCCTTCATTTTAGTCATGGACATTAACAGGGTTTACTTTTACGTAAAAGCATCACAGAAGCGCCGACGATGTGCAGAACGGTAATGAGAGCTCTGTAATTAAACCAACTCAGGGTATCCAACAACATCCAAGCTGAGAATTTCCTATATTACAGGATGTGCTAATCAATTTTATCATCACCCAATAAAAGTGATAAGTGGTACAAGTCATTTGATAACAGGTTCTGTTTCGTATTTAGGATTAGTTCATCAGCAAGTTTTCCTTTCAGAAATGAAAACGCGAGGTTTATCACTTATTTAGGCTACTACACTGTTTAACAACAGAAACACTAATAAAGAAGGTGAAGTAGGTGAAGTTTGAACCTGCGACCTAGTGGCTGAAAGTCAAACACCCTAGCTGCCGACTTAGCGTCCCACTACCCGGCTGCTCCACGGAGACGAGCTTTATACCGAACGACTTAGTCGTTTGTCTTTTTACTGGAATATTTTATGAACACCAAAGCACTCTTACTTTTAAAAATCTTGTGACAATCCAGAGTTTCTCAACAGCAATCTTCATAAGTACTTTCGTGAAGTTAAAACTCAAATATTGTATAAAGGTATTTATTGAGCTCATAGAACAGAAAAGGACATTTGTATCCGTGAAATTTCATCTTTCTGTTAACCAAAAGAACACTTAGGGGTGTTAAGCTTTGTAAACTGATTGTACGGCTGAATTTTGAAAAATACTGGGAATTAGACATGAGAATCACATGAACGCCTACTTTACTGACATCATCACTAAACTAATAAATAGTTCAAATAGAATATTTTGGAAAATACTGAGAATTAGACGCGAGAATCACATGAACGCCTACTTTACTGGCAACATTAAACTAATAAATAGTTCAAATAGAACATATGCTTACGTGTTAGCAGATCTTGTTTTCTTTTAGAGCTTCTCACAGATCGTCCACATGAGCCATAGTTCGGAGGGAGAGCTGCAGCAGAGCCATTTTCTGAAATCACACTAGAAACTAGATTGAACTCACCACATTGAACATTAGACATCCCTTGATTTGCTGGGATACACACGTGAACTTGTCGATGAGTCACACCTCCGAACGTATTTGTTAAGAAAACGCGTCCTGAAGATGTATTTGTCCCTATGGGAGCACGGGAAATCCGGATGTTAGGAGTTGTAGCTGATCCAACGCTATTAAACGCAGTCAAATGAGGCCGTTGAGTAGCGATAGCTTTAGACTGTGTCTGGCATATTTCACAAACATATGGTGTTGACAGGTGACTTTTACTAGCAGATGAAATACATTCACTGTGGTGCCAAATTCTGAAAAGTGGTTAGGTTTTGATATTTATGCCGAAAATATTTTACCTGCACTGATTACACTGAACGAGATAACCATCCAAATTCGTATTTCCGCAAACGCAACGAACAGAATCCATACTATCTGTAGAAACTTGACGTGGAGCAGTAGTAGAAATTTGAAGACCAGGCAAACCAGTTCGCAAGATAACATGTGGAGTGAGGGATGAACTAACTCGATGAATTTGCAAGGGAGGATTTGCATTACCACCGGCAGTTGAGATTAAGATTGTTCGACTAGGCAAGGAAGAAACATGACTAGTCGTTGTGACCAGGGATTGTCCGTTACTAGGAGTATTTAGTCCTGAATTGCACACGACAGAACGTTTAGTTGATGGGCACAGTGCGCTTGGTTCAACCAAACTCACAGACTTAGTTGTTGAGACCGTGGAACTTTCTTCAAGAACCCAGTTGGTCTGAAGTGTAGACTGGAGTGTCCTGGACGTCGTCTCTTCCGAATCCTTAGCATCGTCATCCTTTGCTAATGCTAACTTTGCTAAAAGAGACAAACGATCATCAGGCTCAACAGGTCTATTGTGATCTGGATTTGGTTCGTAGGATGCATAATTGTGATCCTGAAACTAGATTAAGCGAACAGCAGAAACTCACGTTGTAGGGAAGTCCCCAACAGCCTTCTGATTCACCATAAGTTACAGCATGAAAAGGGTATTCATCGGGGTCAGATTCACTACTAAAACTCGATATGAAGAAATCAACCTTACTCGTGGTATGAGAAAAAAACTTGTTTGTTCAATCTCTGAGTGTCGCACACAGATATCTCAGAACCGTCATGATTTATTGTCACTGTCTGACCAACATCGGGGGCTTTGCTTGAGTAGTCGGTAGTTTCTACTGGAGAGTCTGGAGTATCTTCAATTATTGCATCCGACTCGGAAGAATCATTCAGAGAGCTACTTGGTCGAATAATAGAAAAAAAGTTCAGACTGTTGACTTGACGATGAGGATGGATAAGAGCATCCATCAGATTTACATGTGACACTAAACCTGAAACAATAGAAATTTTTCGCACGTATTATGATGTGGCAGATATTGTTTGAATACACAAGCTACTGATAAACAACCACAATAAACAGCTTTATTTTGAAGAAACCTCCTTTAGCTGTCAAATATAACCAGTATCTCAACGTAGGAAATACAGGCCAGACAATGGGAACTAATACAGATAGAAAAAAGTTTTGTTTTAACCAGAAAAGATACCACGACATAATGGTGAAATCCAAACAAAACTTACAATCATCGCAGTGGTCACACTAGAATCTTAGGGCGAGCCTAACGTTAACGGACAAGGAATCTAGTTTGAAACCTCATGCATTTTGAATTCCTCAAGTAAGTTTTCTGGAATGATCATAACTAATCAATCTTGCTAACATAATAACCAAACGAGCGTTTACATCTCCATTACACCACAAACAGATCAAACCAGGCTACTAAGCTTAGAAACGCAAAAATAATTACAATGGACTTATTTATGGAGAGGAGAATGACTCACCTAACATTCCTTATCATCCAAAGCCATCCATATCGCCATCCCAAACAAAGGGACCCATACGATCAATTCTGTTGCCAAGTCTGTATTAGCAACGATTCAAACAACGCATATGATATTTTGAATGTTTCAAACTGCAGTACAGCAAACCGATGAGGCTTTCACCTTGAAGATATGATGAATGAAACAGCCACACTTTTAGTTGATGGCTTCAATGTACATGCCTTATGAAAAAACAGTGAATTCTTTATTATATGGTGCGTCCAGTAAAACTAATGAGGTTATCATCAATGCAGAAGACCCTCGGGACTATTTATTCTGTGTATCACTTTTTAAAACGAAAAGCATGAGCAAAGATTCATAGACTCCAAAGTGAAAGGTGACAATAGTTTTAGAAATGTCATTTGCAGTCACAGGAGTTGGATTATGCTCTTTAACCAAATTGATTTTCCAGAAAACATTTTAGCCTCTCAAGGTAACTGTTAGATCGTGGATGTATCGCAAAGTGTATCGATCAACTGTAATTTTCGTATTAAGTCTCCGATAATTACCAATCGAGTGTCAATCATTGCTGTCCGTTTTGGATATCATGTGAAAAGGTGATGCGCATGGACTCTTCCCAAGTCCTCTAATCCTCTAATTCGCTATGGGCTAAACTCTGCTTTTCAGGAGCTAGTCGGAGCGCTTTCAACGATACGGGTGAGCCTGTGGTTGTAATGTGATGTGTAACATTGTTGGTTACACACAGTACTTTCAGTCGTGTTTTGTAAAGTTCAGGTTACTTGTTGAGTGCTCAGCAAATGTATATATTAATTATAAGCTTAACCGCTACTGGGCATAACCTGAAACCAGAAAATGAGGTTCTTCAGATAAATAATCTAATCGCCACTAAAGATTTCACAGATGTTCATGATTTGTCAACGCTTTGTCCGTAACACCATGATCGCAGGACATCGACCCAGTCAAATAAGAAGTCAGGGATGGATGGGTTAGAGGAAAAACCTGGAAAGTTATCTATATGTTGGGAATCGTTCAATCTAAGCTGGGTAGCAATTCTTACGGATGCCATCTCCTTATCTGGTGCGGATTCTTGACGGAGCGCCTTCAACTAAGGTGTATCCAGTAAAAATAATAAGATCAATATCAACGTCGAAAACCAACAGAACCATTTATTTTGGGGATTCATTTACCAATACAAGTATTTCTCTTATAGCTAAACGTCTGCTGAACCAATCACCGTTCCATACAAGGTTCCGAGAATTACCCCTATTTCCACTTCACTAAACCTCGTTTTTTAATAAAGGTTCGTATATTTTTGTAGTATCGGAATTCCACCGCACATATGGTTTTTTCATTCCATTAATATGAGGATGAATACGAAATGTTTGTCCTATAATTACGTTAAACAGATAGCGACCGATTAATCCTATGCAATACAGTGTGGTTTATTAGCATACTTTGGAATACTAACCCTTCTTTAACTATCATAATTACATCTATTATCGATCTCAAACGGCCCGCACGTCAGTCTTTTCTTTAAATATGTCGAGAGCACATCTAGAATTTTAAGGAATGTAAAACCAGGACATGAATAATGCATGACCAACTTTATTGTTCATACAAGTCAAAAGCTACAGTGTTGATTAGCTAGATTCGCTTATTATTATTGTGACTATTATTACTGTCACTCAATGATGGTAAGAAAAGTAACCACATTGTTTCCACTATAAATTCATATAACTGACAGTCAGTCATTGAGCTCATATTGACTTATATTTGGTTCAGCACGAAAATGACTAACGGCGTATATAAACCATAAAAGCTACCTAGTTTTAAGAATCCATTGCTCATTTAGACTGGCCTATTTTTGAACCTGTTTTCCTCATGTTTGAGTAACTTAGAAAACATCTTTTTTTTGTGTACAAAAGTACCTCCACCACATGCACTTGAACCATCGTTCCCTTCAGTGTTGGGTTACAGACAACCAATAGACCGTATCCGATCATGATGGGCCTAACTGTAATATCCTCTGCATTAGTCGATTATTAGCGATACTTATGACCAACAGGACATACGCACTTGTAGAGTCCAAAACAACTCGGTTTTAAGTGACTTTAGGGAACATAACCTGCTTACTATAATGTCCATACACACATCAAGCTAATCAATTGGTTATTGTATGAGACTCCGATTCAAAGACTTAACACAGAGTATTTTACTATTTTTCATTATGTGTTTTGATTATTTGTGATCAGTGGACACGATCTATGTCTGCAGTTACGAACAAAATCACTAAACGCGGTCATCACAGAGTCAAGGCCATGAATTTAATCTAGTAAGTTCAGGAAACCAACTTTCGAATGGCTCACATTGATGTTATTTTTTAAGTAACGTTTTGTTTTCACGCATATTCACACCCAAAATGTCTAAACTGTGTCTGTTTTATTTACAGATTGCTAACACGTTCTGGCAGACTAAAAATATGAATGGAATCGAGCATTTATTGCTTGTGGTTGCAAATTTTATCTTTGTACACATAAATATTTTATGAAAACAATGGAGCGATTCTTCAAGTCTGGAAGATTTTATTTGCTTATCTAAAAAATAGATTCCTCTCTATTTCTGACTTGAGGACAGCTCAAGAGGCGGATGAGTGATAACAGAAAATGAGAAAATCGGACCCTACCAACATTGTGTTAGCTAGCTCACTCTCGACGCTTATTTAGCTATTTTTGTTTCGTTTTTCTTATCTGCTATTTGGTCACTAGCTCTAAATGTTATACGGAAGACACACGTAACAGTTCATTTGCGATAATTTGTGGTAAGATGGTAAGTTCTACCGAGTTAGCCATTGAAAACCAAACCGATATACTTTTGTCTTATAAGTCGGTCAAACTTAAATTCCTTTGGAAGTCTGTTCTAGGAAAAGGCTGACGTAACAACTTAGATTGGCTAGTTAACAGTTAGCCGAAAACACCTTGATAATGTCAGCAAATTATGGCACAAGTATTTATTTACCTGCCTATTATTCTATGTAACTTCTTGCTTTTGATATTAGACATATTTTCTTCCTAGCCCATATGAGTCCATCAACAAACTATGAAATCAGCCGCTGACTGTCGCGATAAGATGGGTCAGTAAAGATAGTGGTGCGGCATCGATGTAAGATCTTATAGGTTACGCAGCCATATCACGGAAACTCCAAAATTTCGTATTCGGTATATTATTCTTTCAGCATGAAGTGCACTTATGCCGACCTGGATCATGTCTTTGCAATAGTAGCTGTTCGAGTTTGAAACTGTTTGAAAACAAGGTTACGAGAAAAGCTCAAATTATCCAACCTACTATGAACTGGTGTTGCAAATATTACCCCTTTAATCAGGCTTCAACCTGGCCTATTTAGTGTTGAATTTTAACTCCAGTTTATATCCCCCTTTTCGTCGTTCCGCGTTCGGGCTCTGTAAACCATAATATTCAAGGTGTGTTATGGAATTTATCGTCATAACTATGCAGGAATTTTTCACCATACAAGTAAAATTAAATTATATACATAAGTAGTAGTATTGGTCCTAACCACACAATTCTCAAAGCTTAACGTGAGATAACTGGAAAAATAGATATTCAACATTTAACACGGAGAGTAGGTCAGCAATGGTGAACGTGGTGACACTCAAAAGTTCAAGAGTATGGCGCGGCTCAACCATGTGGGCGTGGTCACTCTTGTGTAACCCATACCTTTCCTTATCAAATATATCATTCCATCCCCAGCCGGAATGTGTTCTTCCTAATTGTTAAGTATCATGATATTAATTGTCAGAATACGATGAGTTGGTGTGGGCAATGATGTAAAATCTTATAGATTAGGCAATCATATCATGACAAATCTACTACTTTAGGATTAGGTAGATCAAAAAATTAGTTATAATATGTAAAAGGGTCGATGACAGTGTTCTACCCCGGCCGTGTAGACTCCTTAAGGTAATCTTAGGGTCGGAGAAACAACGTAATCTTCTGTTAAGTAACGCTCGAAGTCACGACAAATCTGACATTCGAATGCGACCGGTTGTGTCTCTGGAAGATAGAATAAATAGGAAGACGGCACTAGCTGAACTAGAAACCCGTCGACAAAACGGTGAAGAAAATCTCCGATTGATGGGTTTTCGAATAGTCAGGTCTTGGAAGCGAATGCTATTAAGGCCTGTGTGGATAGGTCGTTCCCCCTAGGAGTTTTATATGCCAACGCCCGTAGTCTAAAACATAAATTCTACGAGCTGGGAACATTAGTGGACAAATTAAGGCCACTCATTGTAGCTGTGACGGAAACTTGGTTAGTCCATGACTTCGATATCACCCCAGAATTATCCGGATATCATTGTTTAAGAAGTGATAGACATAGATGCAGGAAAGGAGGTGCCGTCCTTCTAGCCAATAGTATAAATATCCGCTCCTCCGTTTGCGAATCCTATGATAGTGGAACTAGTGAAGTCATTAGCTGTGAACTCATTGTCGGATGTTGTACATTTGCACTCGGTGTCATCTATCGCAGCCCAATCTGCTTAGCTGATGACTTTATTTTAGAGCACATTCGGCTATGGAGTGCAAATAACAGATGCTTGATACTAGGAGACTTTAATGCACCTGACATTAGTTGGACTGAGATGACCACGAAATGCTCTATAAACTCATTTGATAGCAGGCTCTTGGAAACAGTAATGGAACATGCATGAGTACAACATGTATCCAAACCTACACGTTTTGGTGTAAACCAAGGTTCTTCTCTGTTGGACTTGGTAATTACCCATGAGACTGAGGATATTGCCAACCTAAACATTCTTCCCCCGTTAGTAAATAGCGATCACGCTGTTTTATCATTCACGTTTAGAGCTAGCGATATGATATACAATCAGATTAAGCCTCGCCCAAACATATGGAGAGCTTACTTACTTACTTACTTACGCCTGTTACTCCCAATGGAGCATAGGCCGCCGACCAGCTTTCTCCAACCCACTCTGTCCTGGGCCTTCCTTTCTAGTTCTATCCAGTTCTTGTTCATTCTCCTCATGTCTGTCTCTATTTCTCGGCGTAATGTGTTC